AGAGTTCATCGATTTAAAGCTGAACTTAAAAAGAATAGATACCTTGATTGCAAAGTCGAATAATTTCGAAGGCACCTAGACAGTGTTCCCGGCCACTACCGCCATCTCCGACTTTTGAATTTTACAATTTTGTATGAAAATTCGACCTCTACGTGAAAAACATCCATTGCCACCAAGTCTGACAAAAAGGAATCAAACAGGTGCCGACCACATCCACTATCTTGAATTTTTGAATAATAAAAATTTGAGTTTAAATTAAGGTTTTCCGTCAGAAAATGCCACCTGGCACCGAGTTTTAAAAAAATCGAGCGAACAGAAGTCCCAGATCGTACGATAAACTTTACCAGTCAAGTTGCCTACGTTAGTGCGCCTTCAATTTTGTCTGATACTGTGCAATACCTCCGTGGTGATATAGTTGCTCGGAGCGCCTTCAAGCGTTTCGCCTCGACTTGATGGCAGAAGATCACGATTGCCGCCGTCATTACACTCCTGGACGTTTCTTGAAACTCGGTACAAGGTGGCATTTTTTGACGGAAACCTTGAATTCCAACTCAAATTTTCATAATTTAAAAATCCACTATACTGGATGGGGCCTAAAATCCTATCTCGGAGCCTCCTTGATTCATTTTTGTGAGACTTGCTGGCAGTAGATGTCGTTCACGTAGAGGTCGAATTTTCAGTCAAAGTTTTGAATTTCAAAGCTCCAAGATGGCGGAAGTGGCTTAGAGTGCTATCTTGGCACCTTCAAAATTATCCAAAATTGGTAGGTAGCTGTCTTAAAAAAGAATCGTCATCAAAAATCTCGGAAAACAATTGATATTTTGAATGACTGTCAAAAAGTAAAAATATTTCATTCTCTATGAAATATTTTAATGAAACGTCACTATGAGCCGTAAATTCTTATTAATTTCCAAAAATCGCCACACATTTTTTGGCTTAAAATCATCAATTTTAGTCTGAAGTAACCATTGCAATTTCCAAATTGTCGCTTACTTTCTTACTCCCGGCGTTTAAGTCTCCAGAGATGTACATAATGACACTACTTCTGCTACATGCATAGGTGGACATGCTTGAACCTATGCGAGTAACAAAGCTACCTGGACAAGTTGCATTGGTAATATAGATGAGTAACTTCGCAGGTCAGCGGGCTGATTATTGAAATCGATAGACAAAGCAATAGACAAAGAAGACATAGGGAAAATTGAGCGATCCCATTGGTTGAAATGGGTGATTGTTGTAGACCAAGGGAGAAAATGATGAACTGACTATACGATCCCTCGTGAATTGCCGTTGATTAGTCTATTACTCACTTCATTTTAGCGGCTCTGGTGGTAGCACCTAGAGCTGCTATTCGGGTCGGTCTCTGCAGTGGATGTTACCAATGGTGCATATACCATTGGTTAGAGCGCGCGTTGGTAGATGGGAATCGTCGCCATTTTCGGCTGTGGACCTTGTCATGATTTTATTTTAATTCATTGTTTTTTCTTGTGAGTGAATGATATGTTGTGTAGTGTATTTTTGGAATCATGGTGATACTGCCGATATGTCGATGATTTTCAAAATTTCAAAATCTAAGATGGCGGCCGTGGCCTAAAATGCTAAGTCGGCGCCTGTTTGATCGATTTTCGTGAGACTCGGCATCCGAAGGTATTTTTCAACGGGAAACTCGAATTTTTGGTCAGATTTTCAAAATTTCAAAATCCAAGATGGCGGCCGTGGCCTAAAATGCTAAGTCAGCTCCAGTTTGATCGATTTTCGTGAATCTCGGTATCCGGATGTATTTTTCAACGGGAAACTCGAATTTTTGGTCAGATTTTCAAAATTGAAAATCCAAGATGGCGGCCGTGGCTTAAAATGCTAAGTCTGCTGATTGTGGATGAGGACAAAGATAACATATTCGCCACTATTCACCATACTTCGTTAAAAAAAAGTAAATTCGTTCTTTTAAAAGTTAAAAGCTATGAGGGGCGGCTCGCGGAACGAGTCGCAAATTCATCGCGAAGCGAGGAACTGGGGGTCCAGGGGCACTCTCCAGCTAGGCGTGACAGCTCGCACAGCGAGCTGAACACGGCTAGTAGTTTATATATGTCTTGGATGTGAGCGGCCCAGAGCCGCTCTCCAGCGGCAGTGCGCTGGAGTTACTGCTTGTTTCCATTGTAACCACCCGCTTCCACTCATATAAACGCCTCATTTTCCCATTGTCTTCTTTGTTCATAGCATTGTTTATCAATTTCAATAATCAGCCCGCTTAAGTTTATCTTTGCCTATTAGGTACCAAAAACTTGGAATTGGCGGCTTTCAAACCTGAACCGTAAGGTAATTGGATAGCTCTACCTACAGACTGATTATTTAAATTGGTAGACAAAGCGATAAATAACGAGACATAGGGAAAATGAAGCGATCCCATTGGCTGAAACGGATGACTGCTATAGACTAAGGAGGAAAATGATGGACTAACTATAAGGTCCCACGTAAGTTCCCGTTCGTCACTTGTCTTTTTTGTCCATCGCAACCACCTGCGCGCTTCCACCTGCAGGATTGCATCAATTTCCCTTTGTCCTCTATATCTATCGTTGGCCTGCTCGATTATTTAAATAATCGAATGATCGATAATCGGTGATCGAACTATGTAGCTAATCGGTCAAGACATTAAACAATGACACAAAAATTGGGATAAAAGCTGTAAAAACAAGAGAGGGAGAGAGACATGAATCGACAGCGAAATAATCGATTCATCCATAATCGATAATTAATCGCTGTTTTCGAAAAGTGCTAAAAATGGCTAGTTTGACCACTAAAATCTTATGAATGTTAGATTCTTTGGAACTAGGACACGTTTTTTCAACATGATCTCAAATTGCTAATTAATTGTAAACTAACAATCGATTAGAGATTAATCGGATAACGGTAAATCAATTACTGTGATCGATTACTATGCGCTCGACTAATTATGAATCGATTATCGGAACATGCCTAGTCTATGTTGTATCAGGTTTTCCGTCAAAAAATGACCCTTCTTCAATAAAAAACTTCCATCGCCTTGCTAAGGCGTGAGGATACAACTATTTGAACTCTCCGGAACGCGTGAGGTATCAAGCCTTAATTAAAGGCGTTTTCGCATCTTCTTTATTTACATAACGAGATTTTCCAATTTTTTTTGCTTTTTATTGTAGATTTGAGTTCCTTTTATTATTTAGTTAATTTATTACTGCTTCTTAATTTTTAATTCTTCTGCAAAAAGTATCTTTTTGAGAAGTACAACCCTGACTAACAGGCTTCAATTGAAGGTGTTTACAAATCATCTGTATTTACATGACGAGATTTTCAAATTTTTTCTGCATTATATTGTAGATTTGAGTTACTTTTATTATTTAGTTAAATTACTCCCACTGCTTAATTTTTAATTATTCTACAAAAACTATCCATTTGCGAAATACAACCCTGGCTTTTGCGCCCTTAAACTACGGCCTTAACGGTCGAAACTAAATTAGCTGCACGGGAAAACCGAAAAACAACGCGAGGACCCTACTTCAAACTTCCATCGCCTTGCTAAGGCGCAGGGATACAACTATTTGAACTTTCGGGAATGGTGAGGTATCACGCCTCAATTGAAGGCGTTTTCGACTTTTCTGTATTTACATGACGAGATTTTCCAATTAGTTTGAATTTTATTGTAAATTTGAGTTCCTTTTGTTATTGTGTTAAGTTAATCCTGCTTCTTAATTTTTAATTATTATGGAAAAATTATTTTTTTGTGAAATACAATCCTGGCTTTAGCGCCCTTAAACTACGGCCTTAACGGTTGAAAATACAGTAGCGGCACAAGAAAACCGAAAAACAACGCGAGGACCCTACTTCAAACTTCCATCGCCTTGCTAAGGCGCAGGGATACAACTATTTGAACTCTCCGGAATGGTGAGGTATCACGCCTCAATTGAAGGCGTTTTCGAATCTTCTATCTTTACATGACGAGATTTTCCAAATTTTTTTTTGCATTATATTGTAGATTTAAGTTCCTTTTATTATTAAGTTAAATTATTCCTGCTCCTTAGTTTTTAATTATTCTGTAAAATTTTCGTTTTGCGAAGTAGAATCCTGGCTTTAGCGCCCTAAAACTCCAGCCTTAACGGTCGAAACTGCAGTGGCGGCACAGGAAAGCCGAAAATCCAAACAGGGACGCTACTTCAATATTTAGCTTCCATCGCCTTGCTAAGGCACAGGGATTCAACTACTTGAACTTTCAGGAACACGTGAGGTATAACGCTTCAATTGAAGGCGTTTACGAATCATATGCATTTACATTACGATGTTTTCAAAACTTTTTTTGCTTTATATTGTAGATTTGAGTTCCTTTTATTATTTAGTTAAATTATTCCTGCTTCTTAATTTTTAATTATTATGCAAATATTATCTCTTTGCGAAGTACAATCCTGGCTTTAGCGCCCTTAAACTACGGCCTTAACGGTTGAAACTATAGTAGCGGCACAGGAAAACCGAAAAACAACGCGGGGACGCTACTTCAATATTAAACTTCCATCGGCTTGCTAGGATGATATCATTTCCAATGATAAACTGAGGGCATCTGATCTTCCGTTGCACTCTAAAGTGCGTGAACTTATTTGACATAGACTGTATAGTAGTCTCTCTCTTTCCAGTAAGTAATCGAATCGATGAGTCCTCAGTGTTCTGCGCGAGAATTCAATTGGAAATCACAAGTATGTCTTGACTCTTGAAATTCTCCAATGTCCACTTTATCTAGCGAGCAGTTGTTGCAATAGTTTATCTCGGTGGTCCATTTTTTAATGGCACCGCATAAACTACATAAAGTAATATTCGGTGAGAAGCGGGCGGTCAAGAGGCTCTCCGCTTTTTTAAAAAAAACCGCCAGTGTTCGAAATGAGCATATTGACTGGAGCGCTACCTGGTGAACTCCTTTAGCAACAGGTTGTAATCAGAATTTTTTTGTTTTTTTTTTTTTTCAAATAGAGAAGAAGAAGAATATACATACCTAAATTTCGCGAAATTAGCGAAATCGCGTGCTGTTTGTCACGTACACGCAGAAGTGATATTATTTTGTAATTTTTCTTTAGATTTTTTGACCGGTGTAAGCTTTCTATTTTAACTTTAAGTTGTTTGTTAAAGTATGGTGAACAATCCTGATTCTGTTTTACATTCTAGAGCAAGAAAAAGAATCAAAGCAACCAAGAGGAAAGCTAGACCAGGCAAGTCATTATCTTTTACTCGTAAAACCGGCCCCATATTCTTATGACAGCTCGCATGAGTCTTCAGACTGCTTTTAATCGAATCGTTACAATTACTTGTGAGCTGAAGTGATCCTTAGGTCATGTTCAGCACAAACAAGTACTTACTTTAACTTTTACACTATTCGCACTTCGTACATCGCAAGGTCTTTCAAGGCCCCTGAAGCCTTGGCAGACTAGAATGTATGTTCGTTTTGTTTTGTATGTCTCAAATGTGTAAAGCTTTTCTTGCATTTCATTTGGAGGCGCATGCTACACGTGGTTTCAATGATTTTTTTTTGGTCTGGAACCGTGTTATTCGCGCATACATAGCTGTTCAGTAAACTTGTGATATAATTCTATTTATTAGAGAACATTCCTACTCCTCAGACTTGAACAATCAGATAATTTTGTAAAATAATGGAGATTATTAGAGTTGTGGAGCAAGTCAAAACCCGAACTGAAATACCTAAGTATCCTGGACATGAGCTGTCAAACGAACACTCAAATGTACATACAGTCTCTTTCATCTACTTTGGTTTTTGACTGCATTAGATTTGCATTATTAAGAGGCAATCCCAGCTCATCAGAATAGAAACAAAGTGGCTTCATTGAAAAGCGAATTCAAGAGGTTCCGCACTCTGATCTATCATACTCTCAATAATTCTTCATTTGACTCTTACAACTCTGTTGGTATCTGATGACGCAAGTGAAAGTTGCATGAACAAGTGTACATTGGCATGAGGATATCTTCCTCCTTATTTTGACTAATTCATGGCTGTTTCAAGGGTTAGAGTTGTAATTTGGTTGAAAGACAAGCAATGAAATTTTCCTCTAAATTTTTTGAGGTTATTATCTGTCCTTGATTAGCATTTATTGGGGTTGAAAACTATCTTTCTACTTCCTAAATTAAGTGATCTTCTTTGGTGTAAAACGGTACTGATTAGCGTCTGCTTCAGGCGTAGTTAATCATGTTTAGGTTAAATTTTCAGAAATGCCACCAACAAATTCAATAGCTGAGCACTTCTCTCTCTGGAAACTGCAGTTCGATGGCCTCGCTTTTAGCAGATAAACTTTGTCATTTTTATGTCAAGCTGCTAGAATATTTGTACCAAATGTCTCTCTTGATTTAAATTTCTCATGTTAAAGGAGCCATATAAAATTTTTTTATTCAGTCAGGACAAAATTGTGACGAATGTACAAAATAAGCTAATAGACTTGAGGTTATGTTCCATTGTTTATGTTCCGAACATCTCACACTGATATGCTAAATATCGTAAGAGTGATGATGCAACTAGTCTGTTTTAGGTGAGATAGATGCATAAAAATGATTAGGCTGTCACCGTTATCATCGGTTTGACCCATCTGGTCAGGAGCTGCTTCCACCCCCAAGTGAAGATGATTATTTCTGTCCTCCGCTAAATCACTCATGTATCTAGATTCTAAGTCAAGTCACAAGAATCCTATGATCTCTAGTCCTTTAGAATAGCAGATGATCTTGAAAAATGAGCAGACCTGAAATTTCATCTTTCATTATTGCTCAATATCTAGAAGCCTTGACTCAAATGATAGCACTAGAGAATTAAATTATTTAGGTCCTGCAAGCTCATGAGCTCCAGAATATTCCAGAATTTGTTATGAAAAATAGCTCCAAATCCAAATCTAAAGATCTGAACGCATGGTCAAAGAGAATCCAGTACCTCCATACTACTTAACTGAGGTATCAAAACATGTTCTGTGAGACTAAACTTACTGGTTGTTTTTTTTTTTTGGATACTAGGTTCACTCTATTATATCCGCATGTAGATTTTGAGGTAGTGTTAAGAGCTGGAAAATGTTATAATTCTTTTACCATTGTCACTCTTAATTCTGGGAGGGGCTGCTAGTGAAAGTCTGATATTTCTTAAATTTTTTTAACTGAGTTTAATTTGTTTTTCTGTATAGAGTTGAACGACAAAGGAGCATGGTATCAACTAGGATATGCCAACAGATTTGATAATTTCACTAAAGTGAAAGATAATGTTGAGAGAATCCATGTAAAAGACGTTTCACCACAAGCATTTATTGAAAAATATGAAAAGCCATATAAACCTGTTGTTATTCAAGGAATTCAAGAAAATTGGGATGCACACCAAAAATGGACACTGGAAGTAAGTATGAATCTTAATATACTCTCCGTTTCCCTCGCCTTCTGTACTGTTTTTTTTTGTTCCTGCTGATGACTTGAGGACTGGGTGATGTAACTGCAAGGTAAACTAGGTACCGTGTAAAAATTTGTAAAAAAGGAGGTGAATCTAGGTACTGTACGTTAAAAATTTGCTTCAGATCTCTTGGAACAGGAATTTTATATCACATGGTAAAAGTGTGTAGATAAAGGGCTGTGTTGTTTGTATTCTTCCAAGCAAATTGCATGTCTTGTTTTGTCATGTTGCAAACTTCCTGTCACTCTTCACTTTTTTATAACCAATATATTTTCTTGCTGAACTCGAAAATTTGCCTAACTGATTATCTTCTGTTATATAATATTTCATGAGAGTTCACCCAAAAAAAGGGAGAAAAAAAAGATCTGGTGTGAAAAAATAACAGAACCAAAACCAGCGCAATTAGTATATGATGTTAAAATAATCTTAAAGCGAGGATAAAAAAAAAAGAAAGTACTTACATTTAGTTCTGATCAGAATCGCCAAAAAACAGAAGAACAACTCGAAAATTCCTTACTTTAATGTACTCCTACGTAATGTAAGAAAAGTTTGAGTTCTCTTTTAATTTTTAGCGATGCTGATCTTAACTAGTGTATGATGTTTTAAATGTAAGCCATCAATATTCTGGGAGACAAATCTTATTGAATTCAGGTATTAATTTTTTGTTTTTTTGTTGGTTATGTCTCACCTTAAGTTTGCTTGCACTGCAATGCTCATAGTCTGAATCCTGTTCCCCAGGCCGATGTGAAAATCCACATTCCTGTTTCAATAAATTGTGCTTAAGCGGCCACTTTTTCCTCAGTGTTACATGAATCAACGGAAACAAATAGGCTTCCCAGTGTCATGTTTTTCTGATAATAATAGCTGTAATGCTGTGATGATAAAAGTTTTCCATGATGTTACTTAATGTTCTCTTCGATATTTTTCAGAGACTAGGCAAAAAGTACAGGAATCAAAAATTCAAGTGCGGCGAAGATAATCAAGGTTATAGTGTTAAAATGAAGATGAAATATTTTGTGAAGTATATGAATGCCAATTGTGATGACAGTCCATTGTACATATTTGACAGCAGTTTTGGAGAGGTGCGTACATATTAGTATCATATCTGAGTACTAAGAGAGTTGGATGTTGTGATCATTATTCCTCTAATTTTTCACAGTTTTGCTCGCAGTCTAATATAAAACATCTGAAAATTTCAAAAGAATTTTTTAACTTGGAAGAGGGAACACTTTTGGTATAAGTATTACTGATGGGCCTCAGACCAAAGTCAGTAATACACACTAGCTTGCTTGAATAAAAAAAAAAGAAAACTTAAATATTTTTTTTTTAAATTGAAAGAATATATTCTTAACTTTCCTTAAAAATACGTAATTTATCTGGAAAATTTGGCAACTCTCAAATGTTCATACAGCGTCCTTCCTAAGCACGGCAGAAATACTTACCGCTTTTATGTTGAGAGCTTCAGGTAAAACTCCAGTTTCATTTCCACTGTCCTGAAGAGTTCTTAACGTCAAAAAATTTGACCAACATTTAATTAAGTTAAGCTCCTCTACCATCTTACCCAGGCATTGAAACAAATACTCCAAAGTTGTAACAACTTTGCTTGAATTGTTTGCAGCATCCAAGGCGGAAAAAGCTCTTAGAAGATTATGAAATTCCTATTTATTTTCGGGATGACCTATTCAAATATGCAGGAGAAGAAAAGAGACCTCCCTACCGGTGGTTTGTAATGGGACCAGCCAGGTCTGGAACAGGTATTCATATTGACCCGCTAGGAACAAGTGCATGGAACGCCCTAATCAGTGGTCACAAAAGGTAAGCAGAACCAACTTTATTTTATGAGCGTCCATAGTTATTGAATTTCATTTTTTTATTAAATTTTTTTATTTTAGATGGATTTTAGTGTACATTTCTTCCCTTAGAATCTGTGATACTGTTTCGATACTCAATCTTTGTTCAGCAGTCTAATTTTGCCTCAGTGTGGCCCCAATATTTACTTGCCTAGCCTGTTGTTAAATCCTGCCATTGACATCAACCTATTACTCCCAAAATGTCAGGAAGAAAATCCAGGAAGCTTTTAAATCTTAAATAATAACTTGTGCTTGCAAATTTATTTTGAACATATCCATTTTATAATTGACGAGACTGCCTTAATGCAGTTAGAAGATTGCAAGGGTTAATGGTAGGTCGATACCTATGAAATAGAAGAATCTTCCGCAAGAATAGGGAAAATCTCATGAAAATAGGACACAATTCTGTGCAAAATATGGCGCAGTAGCAATGAAAAAAGTCTTATATTTTGGGTAAAAGGCTTTTTTTTTTAGTTTTCAGGGGGAAGCGATCATGATTTTTGGTTGAAAATGGGAAAGTTTGATCAAAGGACCCTGCACACCTCTTATGGGAAGCTGCACCATGATTGTATGCTAATTTATTTATGTCATTCGATTTTCCTCAAGATGCTGATCAAAAGTTATAATTGCGTCAACTTTCTTCCATGCACCGTTTTCGCCAAAAAACTGCCAAGAAGATTCAATTATTCGGCGACAATGAATAAAAACGAACAAAGCATTTGAGAACAGGCCCTATGTAAACAAGGAAAAAACGTAGCGCGTGTCCATCTTCTTATCTGTACCTGCCGACTCTGGGGCTATCTCCCTCCCGCTCTTGTTCGGTTGATGCTCCGACTTTCCTGTTCCTATGCTCCTCAAGAATCTGATTCGGATGGTCGAGCAAAACGGCGTGCGGCGTCCGAGATAAGACTGTCACTGGGTGCGGGAGTTCCAATGATTTCCTTGTTGACACACAGCCACTTGTCAATCAAGTACTGAAATGAGGAATCTTTCTGGCTTTTTATCGCCGAATAATTGAATCTTCTCGGCGGTTTTTTTGCGAAAACGGTGCATCGTAGAAAGTTGGCGCAATTATAACTTTTGATCAGCATCTTGAGGAGAATCGAATTACATAAATAAATTAGCATTCAGTCATGGTTCAGCTTCCCATAAGAGGAGTGCGGGGTCCTTTGGGGGATCACTTGAAACTTTTTGCACTCCTGGTACAGTCATACTAGTTTGTAACAAAGCCCAAGGGCAGCTGATTGCAACTTTTTATGCATTTTTTAAACTGAGGAATGCCCTTCTCACACCCAGCACCTCAATCAAGAAAGGGATGGCACTAATTTTTTGTTTTACTCAGCTTAATTACATTAATGGTGCATGATGAAGATAGACAGTTAGCCAATAATGGTGCACCCTGAAACAATTTTTGTAGCTTTAAAGAGAACCCATTCACAATTAAAGTATCTCAATTTATTGCGATTGTTTTTACCCCAGATGGTGCTTGTTCCCAACGCACACTCCAAAGGAATTGATCAAAGTTTCGTCAGCAGAAGGTGGTAAGCAGCGCGATGAAGCCATCACTTGGTTTAGTGTTATTTATCCTCGCACTCAATTAGCATCATGGCCACAAGACTGCAAACCTGTAAGTACATGCATATAATTATCAGTCAGAAGAAAGCTCAACTTTTTTATTATTCAACACACTCATTGGCACCTGTTGTACGAAGGTAGCTTTTTTAAGTCTTAAACATTGATTCTCTCTAAATATCCTTCTCAATAATTCTAATCAGAAGGCACAGCAATTAAGGCAAGCAAGTCCTAGGGGCAAGTTGGCGACCAAAGGTATCTTGACAATCTGTCGAAGAAAACCCAATGTAATTCTTATGACGAATCCTCACGCAGCCAACTTGCATGCCTTCAGTGCTGTTTCTAAATGGTTACCCTAGGATCATCCAGCAACCTCAATGGGTATCTGCAGAGAACTTCTTGATTTCTATCTTAGCATAATTATAATTTTCCAGGGATGATATTACAAGTATGATGTTTAAACATATCTTACAAATTATTGTGATTTAGCATTCATTAATTTGAAGCTCTTAGGGGAAGATATTGCTCAGGTTTCCATCGAATTCCCTTAATTTTCTGTTTCTCATCAAAAATGAGAAATTCATCCTTAAAATTTTACAATCTATTGATTTTGAGAAGAATTTTGTGGCCATTTTCTAATATCTTGTTTTAATGTTTCAGCTGGAAATCTTACAAGGGCCTGGTGAAACAGTGTTTGTCCCTGGTGGCTGGTGGCACGTTGTTCTCAATCTAGATACGACAATAGCTGTTACTCAGAACTTCTGTAGTCGCACGAATTTCCCAATTGTTTGGCACAAGACACTTCGCGGTCGGCCCAAGTTATCCAAAAAATGGTACCACAAGCTAAAGGTTAGAGTGTATGCCTTTCCATCATTTACAGCTCAGCCAGCTATTATAGCTTTACAGTTAATACAGCTTTCCTGTGCGATTGCACAGAGATTCTGCTGTGTTTAATTTCAAATTATTCTATGTATCTATTCACTTAGTTTCATCCTATTTTTTTATTTACTCAGTTTCGAAATGCTTCATTTCTATTTTTACTCAGTTTCATAATATTGTACCTGTTTTTTTTTTTATTTTTAAATCAATTGAAACTTTAATGAATGCATTCAGGAGTTGCTATGTTAAAATAAGTAAATATGGTGACAACTTGCTTATCTTTCTGAATAATGTTTTGGTTCATTACTGAACGGATATTTATCTATTCATGTTTGAACAATTTTCTTATCATCAGTCCTTCAGTTCACAAAGACTATGATATCTTTAATTGCTGCTGAAGTAAGCAAGACATGTGCTAAAAGCACACTCACTGCCTAACAAGAGTACTGAAAACATGAATATTGACGTCTTTAAATCATTGCTTAATTTTTAATTAATCGCTCAACTTTTATTCAAGGTTTTGTATGGTAAGAATGTGGATCATTGATTTACGCAAGTACATTGTCATCAATTTGCATTGAATCACGTATATTGGACTCAATAATAGTATCACAGTATAGCACTGCTAGAAAAAATGAGCAAGTTTTCAAGTTTCCATTTTGCAAAAAATGAACTCTTTGTGAAATGACAACTTGCCACAAATTTCTTTTTCAAAAGGTTATAGCATCATTTCATTTAATTCCAGATTCATGAACCTGACTTGATTGCTGTTGCTGATACTGTAGATCTGAACAAAGACACGGGAGTTGCCTCTGATAGCTCCAGTTGCTCCTCATCCAGTTCAAGTGACTCGGAATCATCGTGTTCCTCGAACGAGTCGCAACAAAATGGGAACAGGCTTAGGAAAGGTAATAACTATTTGAGCATCAATTCTGCTTATTCTTAGTGGAATGAAAGTTTCCTCTCAAATTTGCAAGCCAGAGTTGGGAATATGAACCCTTGGAAATGTCTCTGATAGCATCCCAAGGATTCTAAAATCCTTATCCTGTAGATCTTCAAAAATGTTACTATGTATGCACTACAAGAACATTATCAAAGAGATTTGTTTTATAATGGCTTTTACTTGCGCCAATGAATGTTAACCCTAAATCAGATTTTTCCTTTTTTCAGTCTAACTTGTAGTAACTTGGTGTGTTTCTATCAAATTTGGTCTAATTTACAATATATCAGGAAATAAAACATCAAAGAACCCCAGAATACATCACATTGTATCTCCTCCAAACATCAAGATTCTTCAGTAATTTGAGAGAGAAAAAGAGGAAAACATTCCATTTCACTTTTTGTTCTTGACGTAGATTTATTGGATTTATCTCTTCTTCTTCTATTTTTTCAGGAGCGAAAATTCAACGTCTAGATTCTAATGGCAGCCATGACAGTTAGCCGGCAAAGGAACCTGGTCTGTGTTTTCTTGCTCTAGGAAAAAAAAAGATGACATTGATGGACGCCAGTTGAAATATCTGATCCATGATGTTACCCCACCAAAATCCACATGATCAACATTTTGTAAATTTTTCATCAACTTTGATTCTCTCCTACGTTTTCAACTTGCAATCCTTAAAATAGTTGTTTGTCGAAATGTAGGATGGATCGTTCAATTTTTTATTTTTTCATGGAACAGTATTTTTTGAAAAGTAAGTGACAGCCCCAACTCAACATTATCCAGCACGTTTTTGAACAATTGGGAGCAAAAATCATGACTGGATTGTTCGGCTATAGACTGATGTCTAATACCAGGGACGAGTTCTATAGGACGCCGTTCTGTTGTGAGCGGGTGATTGCAGCGCATTCTCGCGTAGGATCCTAGTCAACTCAGAGGATCCTTCCCCCCGAACCTCGACTCATCGATCGCCCGCTCCAAAAGTGAGGTTAAGCCGGAGATTGAAAAATAACACATAAGGCGGCTGAATTCTTGAAAAATAAGTATATTTTTGGCGTTTTTCGACCCCTTTCGACAAGGAAGGATTCGCCGCATGTAAAAGTACGGTGAAAAATTCGATTTTTTGCAGTTATACGGGATCCTACGGATTTTAATGAAGTCCAACAACTGATAACAGCAGTGAGTTGCGAGGATCCTACGTGAGATAGCAGCACTAGTACCTGCTCACGAATTTTTACATTGACTCTTACGGGAGTCCAGGGTCCTATAGAACTGGTCCCTGCTAATACCTACCGTTGTAGTTATCCCCTAATTTTTCCTGACTATAATCCTAGGCATGTAGATGAGAAGTACCTTTCTCAATACTATTCTGCAGCTGTTTAAAATTGAGTTTTGAGTTCTCAAAGTTGAATTGTATACAAGGTGTCCCTAATGGAATAGAGGAAAGTATAGGGATTGATTCTTTAGACTAGAACAAGACGACATTGTTCTACACATGACATTTTTTTGTTTGAACCATTTCAAAGAAAGATGAGGGACCCCCCCCCCCCCCCCAAGTTTCCCCTAGAGAATCTTTTTTTTAATTACATGAAATTCTAGACGGGGCTGTATTTTTATGCCATTTATTCATTTCTGGTGATGAAAAGAGTAAAAATGGATAATGTAGGCTTCCTTCAAATGGCGCAAATGAAAAAAGTTGCAGAACAAAATATTATTTTTTAGATTAAAGAATTGATCCCTACAGTTCCTATCATTCAATTTGAGACACCTTGAATATAGGCGCCTTGTTTTGGAAAAAATGTTTCTCTTGGACGTTGAGCTGATTTTCGAACAGCGGAACTTAACGTATCATACTTAGTCTTCCTGTTAATTATTATATTTTTTCTGGGCAAGCCTTGTCTATTCAGTTATTGCCATCAAGTTTTTGCCGTTTTCTTTTTCTGCAACTGACTGAAAAGATTCCTTCAATGGTTCTCAACCAGGAGCATAAATATTTTCTCCTAATAGTTCTTCTAAAAAACAAATTGAATTTTCCCCATCGTCAAAATAGCTTTGCACCGCTGGTCTTATCTTTGTGATGATCTTACTGCCAAAATTATCCGTAATAAAAGCATCAAATACCTGGGCAGAAACACTGCCATATCAATTAAAAAATGACCATTTTCGGAGTCTAAATTCCTAATAACCTTCAAAACTTTCTGATGAATTGTTTATATTTTAACCTTTAAAAAAAGAAGAAATAAAATTGTAAGTAAAGTAATGTATAAACTAAAATATGGATGCATTGTCAAACCCAGCAATACCCATCCAAATTTACCCGGTGGCTGCTACGTGTTGTTGAATTCGAATGGGTTCACTGCATTTCTAAGATGGTTGCCCTGCAAATCGTCCATCAACTCATTGAGGTTTCGGATTGTTGGCGGGCATACTTAGTTCCTTTGATTTGTTTTTGTTTACAAGTATGTTGACTTCAGAACAACATATTGGGCAGCAATCAAGTTCGGTTTAGCAATGCATCTTACAAAAAGCCGGCATGAACGTTCTCGAGTTTTCAGTGTGCAACTGCTTAAATTATGCATGCGTGGGTAATAATTACGTCAGTATTATTGGAGCTAAAAATTTGAAGGAATAAAAAAGTGGCTAAAAATGAAGAATACGCTTGGCTCGTTGAAATCCCTTTTGCCCTGTGGACCCCACTTAGATTAAGTGTTAATTATTCGATGTGTACTATTACTTTAGTTTGTTTTGTTTTGGAGAAGCGTTTTGTGATCTAGGAGTACGTTAATTTTAAACAATATTCTCTCATTTCTTAGGTTTTCTTTTCAATTACAAGCTAATCTTCGTTGAAAAAAAACCTCTAAATTTGACAACTGAGTGGACAAAACAGAAGTAAAATATGGAGTACATAATAGAAATTCTTTCATTCAACATCAACGCTTTCTTATGAATTAAGGTTTGAAAGTATGTAACCAATACTTTATTTCTTCACTGCGTCATTGAGGTATAAGTGATTGATTCAATTGGCATTTCAATTATTTTATTCTCAGGACAAGACTCACCTCTTCCAAGCCTGTGCTCAGGAATATTTGTGTGCCAATCACACTACAAAAATGTATATTGAATTTTTTTTTTTCTTCTTTTTTTTTGCACGGTACATAATTTCAATGCAGGATAATTATACATATGCATTCAAGTGGGCCACTAGACAAGGTATGAACTAGGAAAAACGTCACTTGTTTTTTCTGCAAAATCTTTTGTAGAGAACAACTCACATCACAGTAAGTTTAAAAATCAACTCTGGAATGAGATATGTGCATGTGAATTTAATACAGATCAAGTGGACTATATTTTGCTTTTAGGAATCATAATTTCTGGCTCTTCTTTATAAACACTTATGTGCATAGAGAAACTAATAATACTTTTGTTGTTTCTAAACCAATGTTAGTACACTGAACACTTGCGTATTGTTTAGGAGTTGATTGCCAGACTTCGTGTTGTGTGATTCGTTTTCCTCTGGAAATTTTCACAGGGAAACATGTCGCGTGAAGTTTGAATTTATACCTTAACTAGAGGCCTATTACGTTGCAATTATTTCTCAAATGGTTTCAAAACTCAGGGAGTAACTTTGTTTTATCTTTGGAATATTTGCCAGGAATACCAATGAAATATCAAGACTGTTTCTCAGTGAAACTGTTGTTTATAACGTGTTTAGCACATTCAATGGTGTACCTATTTTCCCTCATTTTCTTCAAAACAATCTTTTTTGTAAACTTTTACAGGTTTATCAATTGCACTACATTATAAGCTCTTTTTGTAACTCTCACCCTGTAATTTAACTCTCAATGAATTAACGAGAGGGATCAGATCTTAGGCATCTCCTACTTTTTAGTACTAATTGTAACTTATTTTAGTGAGCGCAAGTAGATTCTTAAAAGTAGCTTCAGTCTAATCATTTTTAGGGTTGCCACAGTGAGGGAAATATCAAGAAAAATGACGAAATCCTGGAAAAACTGTTAAATCACCTTTACATCTTTTTTAGAATATGTTAAGTAACATTCCTAATAACACGTGGATTGCATTTAATGGAGGGCTACTCTTATGATCACAGTGTTGTAATAATCAGCATCTTCATCTTTATCTAAAAAATATCCTGGCGTGGCAAATAATTTTTGCCTCTCCATCAAAAAATTGTTTATTTTGATGAAAACTAATTTTGTAAATTTTAATATACAATGTACATATATTTAGTTTTTTTTTTTTTTTTTTTTTTTTTTTTGAAGGTGCTGTTTTGAAAACCCTGCAACAGCACTGGTTCCCTTCTGCTAAGTAGGATCCAAATGCTGTGTGTTCTTGTTTGGTAAAAGCGTGTTTTCATTATTGCGCACAGTGTCAAAATTTGTCAGGAAAATGCTAGCAAATTTCATTTTTTCAAATCTGTGGCAACTCCTCATTTTTAAATTAAAATAATCTATTGTCAGTTTTACCTACTGATCAGAAATTTTTTATCAGGACTTGTACTTCTTGGACCTAATGATTCACTCACAAGAGGTGGTTTTCCTCCTTTTCCTCTACTATTCTTCATTTTTATTTTTTTAAATTGTTGCTGTAAACCCTCTGAGCATCTGGCTCTAATAGCTCAGTTCTATAATAATATGATTCGTTCTTATAAGCAACCTAAAAACTCAACTCAAAAGGTTTGGTTCTTCTCAAAAAGAACCTTCATATTTTTATGTGTAGCTATAAATGACGCCTCTGTAACAATTTCGATTAATTTTGTCTCCAACCCAAGTTACTGTGTTAAACACTGAATAAAACAGGTTTATATTTTACTTTTCTGCCTTTATTTTGTCTGTTTATTTTCTTAAATTGATAACTCCAGTCACTCTTCCTAAAGTGAATTCAAATGACTATGATTGTTATTTTAGCTTCAAAAAATTATTGATTATGAGTAGAGACTTAGTTGTTACAGCCGAATATTGCAAAATTGAGTGAAGATCAAGTTATCTCAGGAGGTGATTTTCCGCTAGTGGATTTGATTCCATTTCAAGCCAATATTTACAGAACTGTCAACTGACAAAGAAAAACACTAAACTCAAAGAACTGAAACTATTCTTACGTACTTCTTTATCCATAGGTTGTTTTCAAGGACGGCCGACTCTACAGAACAATGTGCGGATACAGAAATAAGTGAGGGAGTTATGAGTTTTTTTAAGTTTAGCGATTCCCATACTATGAAACTGAATCGAGTGTTTAATTAAGGAGGAGGAATGAATTGAGACTTGTAGTTATGTAACAAAAACATTTATATTTTCAGATTCAAGTTCAATGTTCTCAACATACAGAAATTTATTCTTCAAAAGATGTTTTATTTCCATTTAGAAAAATAAGAATATTAACAAATACTATTTACAAATAAACAAGGACAACAAAAATTGACTATTCCAGATCACGCAAATTAATTGTAGATTGTTCAAAGTCGCAATGCCTGGAGGAGGTACTTGAGTCAAAGAGGAACACTTGCAGTTCATTGGACGAGGCCCCTAATAGTACGGTGTCATCCTGAGTTGTTTCATAGAGCTCTGGATTTTCATTCAAATCGTCCTAAAATAACAAAAGAGAGAGGAAATAAGAAACATGGAGAAGTCAGAAATAAAAAATAAAAGAAATGTATAATTATAAACAATAAAATTTGAATATGATGGCAGAATATGTCCTGCTTTTCCATTCAAGCAAACTTATTTGGAACACTTCTTTCAAAAGCTGACTTATTTGCTGACCTATTGCAGATGAATCCGAAAGTGGTTTCCAAATATTCTTTCCTCAATTCATTAACAAATCAATCACCACTGAAAACTCCTCAAGCCTTGGTAAGAATCTATATCCAATTTTTACAATTTAATAAATCAATATTTATACTGCAGCGATTACTTGTTATTACTTCAACTTTTATGATGGAGCAAAAGTATCATTAGGCTCACTTTCAAATCCTTCAACGCCCTCTTGTATCTTAGATAAGATCAAAACTATCTTACATTCAAAACTGCATCATTAAACCCAATAAGATGGCTGCGATTGACTTCATCTCAAAATTGTTGTTGTAAGATTCTGGAGTGCAGTTGAAGCTGAAACCTATTTTCCCCCAGAAAGCTCAAAGGATATGAATATTGATGGCCCAAGTGCGAAACCATGTATCTCCATTGCAGTATTTAAATATTTTAGCTCCTCTTTCCCTTTTTCAGAGAGGAAAAAAAGCGACTTTTATAGCTAGAAATTCGTACAGAATATTCAGCTAACAGAGAAGAAAAATCAAGGAAGCTTTGACAAAATACGTTGACTTGTTTTCCTGAGAGAAAAAAAAGTATAACAGGAAGTTTACAATGTTGCAAACGGAGATAAATGGTTTTGCACCTCGGGAATAGAGATGGAGTGCATTCTGCTCAGTTAAAGTGGATTTAATTTTTTTTTTCGTGGTATGAAATCCACTCCATAGCAGGGCTCTCCCCTCCAGAGCATAGCTCATTTCATGCTATATTCATATAACTCAAGTTTTCTTGGAGCAAAATAGACTCTGGATTCAACTGCACTCCTGGATTTCACTCCAAGATTTCTAACGGTGTGACAGAGAGCAATAAATGTAAAAAATAACAAATAACACGCCTGGCACCGGGTCAACATTCAGAGCTTTTAATGAGTAGTTTGACATTTTGGCGGACAGCCATCTGCAAAACAGGGTAAATTCGCCACTCAGAGACGATCGGGTAATTTCAATCAGGCATAATTCGGTTCATTAACCCGTCTTGAATCCAAAAGCCTTCTTACCTGGAGCATCAATGGAGATAGGTTATCATCTAACCAACTAGAGGGCAAGACAACATCTGAACTTTGCAAACAAGGTGGAATCACCGACTCCGTCTGCGAAATTGCTAATGCCTTCGAAAAGACCTCAGTACTCTTTCTCAGGTTTTCTGTTGCATCAGCAATTTGCTTCTTGAGCCTCCCATTTGAGGTTGTCTTCTTTTTATTCATCTTATTTCGAACGTCTTTTAGAGTGATGTTTGTTCTCGCACAACCTATACCACTTTTTTCTGCAGCAGTTGTCTACCAGAAAAAAAAAGAAACACACAAAAGAAAATCAGAATGTGTTTACACATTAGAAAAAAGGCTACTGACAGGAATTTCAAAATAACACTGGAAATTTTTTTTGTTTATTGAATGTTTCTGTTCCGAAGCTGCCTTTATAACATGAGTATTTATTACGATGTTTTTTATTATTTTTTTTTTTCATTATCCTGATTAGTTATCCATATGAATCATTGAATACTGAAATTGCAAGCATGCCGGTCTGAGTCGCATTCATTCCTTCTTTTAGGCCATTACCTGAGGGGGCAGTGTCAATCGCTTTCACAACCATGTTATCATAAATAGAGGAAGGTACCTATGTACAAAAAAAAACAAAAAAAAACACGCATTTGAATTTGATGAAATTACCTCTTTTGATAGCACCTTAGAGCTTGCAGGCACGATTTCTTGCAGTGTTCCTTCCGACAGTTCTGTTTCATCTTCTGTCAAATTCATTTTCTCTGTAGTTAAAGACTGCTCAAAAGATGGAGATATCGAGTTAAAGTCCGAATTGTTTGAGACCAACTCCGGTAAACTTACAGACAAACCTTCAGGCCCCAAGTTTAGGTTAATTCCTATGGGCGAAAGAAAATTAAACCAATATGAGATTACTTCATAAATTTCATTCAAGGCGAACAAAAAAGGATATTTTTCATTAACAAAAGAAATTACTGCATGAAATAATAGGGCAGCAGTTGCATGACATTGAAATTAGCTGGGGTGATAGATATTTTTTTCATAAAATTCATCAAGATTCTCGTTTTCCAGCTCAGAAAAGCACAAGAAAAGTTAAAGTTAAGAAAAAAGTTTGCGAAAAAAGTAGATTATAAAATAGATTATTCCTCAATGGCTTACTACTGATGACCTCACATCAAGCAGCAACCATGGTTCAGCTTAATTGATTGCTGTTAACTAAGTACATTGAGTGAGATATGTTGGATGCTACGCAGCCTGTGACAAAATATACAATGATAAACAATTTAAACAACAGGCAACAAAGCTTTTTTTCACAAAAACGACACCAAAACGTTTCGGCTGAAAACTCAGCCTTCCTCAGTTGGATAAAAGACGATAAATTCTTTTTTAAAAGCGTAAAATCTTAGTACTCCGCCGTGTCTTTCAAAATGGGAAGAATTTTGTTCCGTTTTTTTTGCTTTGAAAGGTACAGCTGACTAGCTGAGTACTAAGAGTTTTAGATTTTTAAAATTTGTTATTGTCTTTTATCCAACTGAGGAAGGCTGAGTTTTCAGCCAAAACGTTTTGGTGTCATCTGTGTGAAAAAAAGTCTTGCTAACCGCTGTTTAAATTGTTCATTATTGTATGCTAAGTGACTCAGAGACGGCCAACTTTACAAAAACTGAATTGGATAAAAATAGGAACGGTATCTTGGTATTATTTATTTTGATTAATCTAAAAAAAACTTATGAAGACGCAGCTACTTACCTGATATTGATGACTCATCATTAGAGCAAGTTAGTACGTTCAATGAACCTAGATTTTCATCATTTTCTAGAAGATTTATGGTGTCTAGGGGGTCAATTGATTCAATATGAACACTATCACTCTTTGCAATGGGCTGTGGAGCTTTAGAAGCAGATGCTCCGCTAATATCCAAGGAATGAACATGCTTATAAATTAGATGCGACTTCAAATCTTCCTTTGATGAGAACTGATAATCACAACCTGTGAATAGAAAGATAAATTTCTTTTACAATGTAGTTATTTCTAAAAATAGGCATTCCACCTCATACACTGAGAATGGTCTGAATTTTTCAGATTTATTGATTTAAGTCCTTGGTACAAGGCATTCCACAAAAATATGCTTGCACACTTTCGGGGTGCACAAACAAAATTGATAATTTATAAGAACAGAAATTGCTTTTGGAAATTCAGAGAAACTTGGGAAGTTACACTTTCTTTCATACACAAAATCTCGTGATTTTTTTAGTCTTTAGGCTTTTGGCATCAGTTTAGGGCATTTCTTTTTGCATGCCACAGGGAGTTGCATATTTTTTTCATACATTAAGTTTCATGAGAAAAACGGATGTGTCACTAGTTTTCTCTGACACAAACTCGCAAGCTCAAGAACAGTTCTCAAGGTTGAGGCTGCTAAGGCGGGGATTGCATTTGTTGGAGCGAGAGCCCACCTCTATATCCAGTAGATAATCTCTTTTGAGACTGGACTCCCTAGAGAGTTAGAGATAGAATAAATATAATAAATATTTGACCCTAGACACAAGGTACAGGGCTTCAAGAATTTCAAAATTACACTGCTGGCAATAGCCACTACCTCATATACATCAAATTGGTGAGGATGTAGTAAATATTTTTGGCTCTCAACTACAGATACAGATACTCAAGTGTCGGGTGTTTGTAAAAAAATCCCAGAGCCAGATTCTTAGTTTCCAAAATATTGCTTTTTTCTGGATTTATGGATCAAAGAGTCATCAGTCAGTCTGAAAGTTTAAAGGTCTTAAAAATGGATGAGTTTGAAATTCACCTTTAATAACACACGAATGACAGTTGGGGCCATCTCCAACTCCTATCCGTCTGCCTTCTGCATCTTTGGTGTTGTGGTGACATTTTTTCAAATGAACATAGAGGCTGGATCGTGCTGAGAATGCACCATCACAGGTATCAACAGGACATGTGAAAGTTTTTTCGGTAAAATGCGTTAGAACGTGATCCCGCAAATGCTCTGGCCTTAAAAATGATTTACCACACTTCTCTATTGTGCACGGATACTTGCGAATGTTTGTATGTTTGCACATGTGCCGCGAGAGCTTACTTGATGTTGTGAATGCCCACGAACACCCTTCGAATTTACATCTGTAAGGTTTGACACCGGTGTGTGAGCGAACATGGGCCTTCAACCGACATGGCTTATCAAAAATTTTGTTACAGAAACTGCACTTGAGGTCTTCCTCTGAGTAAACATGTCCACGGGCATGTGAGCGTAAGGCATTGCGAGAGTAATAGCTCTTGCCACAGTCTTTGCGCTCACAGCGGTATGGAGCTGGGATTTCTTTGTGGACCCGTAGGTGAAGCTCCAAGTTCCGTTTTGTTTGAAATGCTGCATTGCACTCCTCAACCGGGCATGTAATATCAGCAGGCCTTTTGTGCAATTTTAAATGAGTGTGTAAGTTATAAACCGTTGAAAAGGATCGTTCACAAAGCTGACACTGAAAAATAAAAAGACGCATTTTAGATATTTCAGTAAATTCAACATAATGGTTTATTTCAGTGTTTGTTGAAGTTCTCTCAAACTATGAAAAAGTAGATCCATTATCTCAAGTAATTTTCACTTCCTGTTTCTGCTGAATGGCAAACATTCTTCAAAAATTTGCAGAGAAGGATAGAATCCATGGCTGCATTGTCTGGATTGTACTCATAAAAAAACGATGATTGTTTGAAAGAAAATGCATTGTTAAAGAACTCAAGAATGTCTTTACTTTTCTTGCTTTTTTTTTGCAAGACTTGTGCCATGTCCATAGCAGAAGTTTAGTAACTTAACTGCACTCCGCTGCCTTGGGTAAACTCCTGTGAGATAAGTGCTCAAAGAAAATTTGAGTTTTCAAATTCATTGAGTATGATAATCAATAAAGCATACCTTGTGACTCTTTTTCTTCAGATGTGTTTGTTTGTGCCTTTTAAGCTTGACTAGCGAAAAAAATGACCAGCTGCAATTCTCATGATCACACTGCAAACAGTCCCAAAATGCAAAGTATAAGGAAACTTGCGAAAATTGAAGTGAGAATTTATCGTTCTATTTACACCACCATTACACTTAAAAGGGGAGGAATTTTACCTCTCGCATTTATTTTATCAATGAACCATCTTGCATCTATTTTATCAATGGGCCACAAGACAGGATACAAAATTACTTAAGCATCACAACATATAAATCAATATCATTTAAATATAATTTTACTTGGAGTGAATATATTGAATGAATTTTTTGAAGGAAATAGAAAACCAGGGCCAGTAGACTAAATACGAACGGTTGGTGGAAATTTTTTAAGTTAGATTCATATTTGGTAGGGGAAAAAAATAGAGATATTATTTTAAACTTATACATATCTACGGTGTTTTTTTTCATTAAAGTTAATTTTAGAGGAGACATGGTTGACATAGGTATGAAATTTTAAGGATGTTCAGAGGCTATTTTTTCCCTGCAGCTAAACTCATTAGAATTTTCTCTAAAAACAGTAGGTTAAATAAGTCATGTTCCATTTTTAGCAAAATGGGCTAACCCCAAATTTTGAAAAAAAAAAAAAACTTACCTTGTACGGTCGAACATCGTAGTGTGTTTGAAGAAGGTGAGCCTTAAGCCAGTTCATTCTGGATGCATTATACATGCAACCATTTTGTGGACAGAACCAGACTTTCTGGTTACCTACATCCATCTGTAATTTGTTCAGCTCTTCCTCCGATATACCCATTTTCTCAAATGCTTCATTCACCGGTTTCTCTTCTGCTGGAAATAACAACACAGTAGATGAAGTGCTAATAAAAACCAGAGTGAGTAATGCAGTGTGTAGATCAACATCAAGCCTTATTAATGGGGATCATTAAAATAACGGAGTTGCAGACAAAACAAATTCATGGTCTTGAGGAGGTATTTTACATTTATTTTTAATAGGTAATTACCTCCTTACAGTACTCTCTCTCCACAACAACACCAGTTGGAAGTGTGGTCAGCTAAGTTGTCACTTGTTCACATTCTGTTTGCGAGAGACCATGATGCAAACCTCCAATAGGGATTGAGGATTGACTGCGCTCACAATCAGGCTGCTGTCAATCCTCGATCCCTATTGGACGACGGCATTGCAGTTGCATGCCAACTGAATGTAAACAAGCTGATGATGCCTCTGTATTTTAACAGCAATAACTTAGTCAATTTGTATGAAAAGAAGTTGATCTTGATCAGTTGATTTTTACTCCCATTTTCGAATGCGACCATTTTTGACTCAATAGGTACTTACTTTACTTTTAGAAATACAACATCGGTCAAGGTATTTATGGGACAGCCTTTGTACATTGACTCATTGATATAAAATAATTTTTTTGCAGAAAAATTATAGAAAGTCTTACTTACTTCTGCTCAAAAATTTTAAGAAAAAAGGGCCTTAACTCTGCAGACTCTTAAGTGTTGCAAATGACGGCAACACCTTTTAGGTATTCTTTTTTGTTTCTTCTTTTTTTAATTTATTAAAAAAGCCCTCACAGGCTAAGTAAGTACCTAATCCCATCTGTCTGCATCATTATGAACCATTGTCTAACCTATTAACCTAATTGCCTTCTTGCTATGAAAAAACAAACAAGAAACAATAAAGTCATCCCTAATTTTCTACTGTTCTGTAAATCCCTGCATAAATATTTTCCAAGTATTAGTGAGTACTAAAGTGAAGAATATGCGACAACGAAACATCAACTGGGCATGCGTCAGAACACAGAAACTGAGTGACATTTTCAACCTGAATTACCTCATCCAGGAGTTAATAAGGAACACTGAGGGCTCTGTACGGCGAGATGCAAACTCTCTTAAAAATCCAGAATTTCATTCAATTTTCTCATACATGATTATACTGACTAGGTGGAAAGATTCATTTTTGAAACATGAAATCAGCAAGGAGCAAAGGGATCTCTTGCGCAAATAAACTACAAAAATCATACTGAAAGTTCTCTTACCAGGATCAGAGGGAGGAGTAGCTCGCATTAGGACCCATTTAAAAGTTTCAGATGTATTTTCAGCATTGGATCCTTCCTTCACTGTTGAATCTTGGATTTTCAGCTGAACCAAGTCTCCTTTCTCATTTGATCCATCTTTGACTTGTTGAAGTTTAAAAACATTGTTACCACCCGAAATTTTCATGTTATTAAAAACTTTCGATTCTTTGGTATTGTCATGATCCACTATAACCGTCGTATCCCCTTCCGTAACGAATTCTTTCTTTATCAAACTGTTCATGGGTGTCAGCTTTGGGATTTTTCTTGCACTTTTAGTCTTAGCGACTGCTGCGGAGTTACTTGGTTTTCTTTTGATTGTTCCGTTTTTTTGTGGAATGACAGCCACTGTTCTTGCAGATGACTTAGTCACAGTTGTATCAGATTTCTCTGCTTCAGATGAAGAATTCACAGAAGCCGCCTCAAACGAGATGAAGGTATCATTGTCATCAACCAGAGTACCGGAGTGGTCAGAAATAATGACATCATTGAACCTGTAAGAATTGAGCGGCAAAGTTGGTTCAGTTGAAAGTGATGAAAATGGTACGATTTTAGATGGGCTGATACTAGCTCCAAGTTTACCGGTTGTTACATCAGTAGTCCTACTTACTAGAGTCATCTCGGAAGGTAACGATGAGCATTCAACATTTAGATAATAATCTTCGTCAGAGTGCAGTGAGCAATCGGACATTTCAACATGATTTAGTGAATCCGCAAGTTGCATTTCAGACACTTCGATTTCGTAGTCAGTGGTGCTGAAGAGATTACGCAGCTGTTCATTTTTATCCAAGAAAACGAAGCTTTCAAAGTCCTTTGGGTCTGAACTGCCATAAAGTTCTACAGGACAAGAGCTGACAGGTACATTGACGACCGTTTCTTTCAGTGCCCCCGACTCCATCACATTAGGTTATGAGGCAGTGATTGGCAGTTAAAGTAGTCTGAAGGAAGGTAAGCTGCTAAGACTGATTGTGGGTAAAGCTACTGTGTTCTCACATGGAATGGTATAGTAATTTTCATCTTTATTCTATTTTGCGTGACGATGAAGCTTGGAGACAACAAAGGACCAATTCCTCGAGGTTGGCTTGTCACAAAAGCCATTCTTGCAATGAGTTTGCTCTGCACTACTTTCAAAGGTTGAAGGAGAAAGGATGACACGAACCGGAAGAAAAATTTCAATTATTCGGTAGAAATGACTGCAAAAAAAGCACAAAAAGCGGGTTCACTGGTTCAACACTGCTTGAGTGAGAGGCAAGCTCCTGACAAACGTTACACTAATGAGATGAGAAAATTATTACAAAACTGAATTCGCTTTGAAACAAATGAAAAACTTCTTGAATAAAATTTCGTTAACATCCGTCGAGCACGAGCACGGAAAAATCGGCAAAACGTTGAATTTCCCGTTTTAAAAATCGAAAGGAAACAAGTTTTATTTTTGTTCAATTCAATATCTTATCAGTTGTTCTTCTTCTTCATTCCAAAAAGGAGGTTATGTCCATTCGCCATTTGTACGCCATGTCGCCATGCCATGTTGATGACGCACTAGCGGGAACTCAAGTGGCGCGAAGTTTGAATTGACGCATCTAGTGCGAGTTGTACGACAGAGCAGGGGAGAGGGAGACCTTCATGAGCCACCCTGCGCCGTCCACAGCGCGCATGGCGCACGACTCGCCTTACATCATTACACTCCATCTAGCGTTGAGTGTTCACTCAATAGTTCACACGATCAGTGTGTGATTTTAAAAGTCAAAAATTAAAAAAATTACCAAATAAAAAAAACAATACAAAAAATAAAATTACACGATGCACGAGCTTCTTGATCGCCAGGGAGCTCTCCGCAAGAAATCGTTCACCACCTGCCCGTTGCGTTGGGGGCGCCGCTCCGCGGCGTGCTACCAGCGCGAAACTTCCACTGACCCCTACAAACCTAAGGGGCTACCTCACGCATTGCGCAATGCTTGAAGTATCCCCTTAGGTTTGTAGGCGTCAGTGCGCGTTTCGAGCTGGCAGCTGGCAGCGTGCCATAAACTTGTCCACAATTAATAAGTCAGGGTGTTAAAATATAGCCAATTTGACATCAAATTCGAAATTAGCGACTAAAATACAACATCAGCTACGAAACTTACGTGATCTTTCAGTTATTATCTAACTTTTTCTGGAGTTGCGAATAATAGTGTGCCGCCCGCGGCGCTGCGGCGCTCATGAAATTATCCCCTGTGCTCAATCGCGAATCGCGCGCAAGCACACTGAAGCCGTTAATAACATTTTCTGATGCACACAATATGTACAGTATAGAGTATAAAATATATTTGAATTGAACACATTTAAAATTTTGTTTCGAATTTGTTTTATTATTATCACAATATTTTAAATCGCTCCTATTATATTATTCTCTCTTATTCATAGTCAAACAGAATGTCCTTGCACGTTCAGAATTAAGTGGGTAATCTCAATAAGGTCAGAAAGGAGTCAAGTGTTATTGGCCAGCACACAACTATAAAGTGCATTGCTTTCAGTGGAAGAGAAATTCCACGTAGATTCGTAGAATCTCCAGCTGTGTCAAAATGATGCTGATTTACCTGCTTGTCAGCCAAAACGTCATTATGATGAGTTGGTTTTCACCAATTAAAGTTAAAACTGGCCTTGCCAGGACCGGATTTACCTACTTGCCGCCCATGGGCCGCCTGTATTTTTCCGCCCCCCTCTCATTCGTTAAGTTAACGTGCCAGTGGGTGAGGGGTGTATGAGACGCGTTTACTCGTGTTGGACACATTTTTTGTGAAAGCCCTGTCAACACGAATAAAATTTCACGGAACTTTACGCGAAAGTTGAATTCCGTAAACCCATCCCTATTTGGACAAGGCCTTCCATTAAAACAAATGAACGCAAAAAATATGAGAGAACAAACATAAATGTGGTTTAATAATAAATTTTGACTTCCGCCGCTGCGCCGACCGCACTATGTTTGGCGCANGTACGCGTTCCGATCCCCGTCCAGATTTCAATACCGAGGGAATTCCCGGTACAGTTGCCTCTTGATACCTGAGGCCGAGGCAACTCGGATATGAGCTATTGCGGTCTCTGGTTTGGCGCAATGCGTTTCACGCCGGGCTGCTGACCGCACTGTTTGACGCAATGCGTGAAGTATTCATGCAGTCTTGCAGGCGCTATGCGTTTCATGCTGACCGCCGCGCCAAGGGCTTCTCCTTTTCATCTCAGCCCCCGTTATCATTGTTAAGCCGCTCCGCTCAAGGTCAAATTGCGTTTTTGGTTTTTCTTTTAACTCGACTAATTAAAAGTGTTGTCGACTAGTTAAAAGTCTTGTATCACCAAAATACGACAAAATTAGAAATTACTATACTTTCACTCTCAGGAAATGAGAGATATTGTCGCCTTTTCTCGTGTGTTTATTTTCTGAATCCGATTTTTTCTCCTTTTTTTCGATACCTATATTCAAAAAGATTGCAAACTTTGTCGCTCCCTACATTTTGCCGCCATGGGCCGCGGCCCATGTGGCGACCCCTGTGGAACACTCAATCAAAGAAAGGGACGACTCCTACATTCCACATTCAACTATGAGTTTATTTAATAATACTAGGTTAGGAATACATCAGCTGATGAGTTAACATACTCCCCCCCTTGAGGTTTCCTCAATTGAACACATTACATTAGGACATTATCATTATGTTAATTATGACATTATTTTATAATAACAATCGACCAATTTTAAACTTTAAAATATTAGTTCTTGTTTTTCTTCATAATTAAGTGTATAAAATGGTGCATCCTAATTTTTCTTTTGGCTGTGATTTTGAAGCCATGACGCTAGGGTAAACGTTGTAATGATTCTTCTCGTCTACAGGAACTTGCAGGCACTTTCGAGAGAAGTCTGAAGTGCTGCCGTTACGCAAGGAGGTTCTTTAGGGTCAAATTGAAATTCCATTAAAAAGTAGACAAATTCCAGTTGTCGTAACATCTGTTGAAATTTAAAAATTTAATGAATTTGGAACGCATCATGTGCTGTATACTTCTCAATACTTCAAGTAAAATGAGACTTTGAATTGGACTTCGGGATCAGTTTCTTTTTATGAACTTCATTATCAACAGGAAGCACTGCCTCATTAAAAACCGTAACCATATGAAAAACCATTGGATAAAAACATAGGCAAGGGAAAAAGAGTACAGTGCACGAATGATCGATTTCTGATTATAAGCATTGACAGAATGATTGTTGTTGCTTTCTCCAAAGTTTTGCGAAGTCAATCAGCTGCTCCTGTCTAAAACATAACATTACTACTCTCACTTCATTATTCTTGTTGAAGCAAAGGGGTTCTTGATTCTCACTCGTTGTTTCAATTGCTTTGGTTACATTGCTCTTATGTGGAACACTCAAATTTATATTTTTTCTTCTCTAAACTCCGACTAGACAGGGCTTTTGCCTAAATGTACTGAGACTTAGATAGGTCATCACGTCGAGGTCACCATTATGTGGAACACTCAATCAAAGAAAGGGACGACTCCTACATTCCACATTCAACTATGAGTTTATTTAATAATACTATATAGGTTAGGAATACATCAGCTGATGAGTTAACATATTGTTTCAATTGCTTTGGTTACATTGCTCACCCATTTAGTTGGGTATATGTGAGTTGCACTCTACAATGTTGCTTTACACAGAGACCGTCAGTATTGCAAGTGACGCTTCTGGTGTAGTGCCATATGACACAATTGGTAGGTAATTTTGATTGGTAAGCTCCGTCAATTCTTCGTCAAATTTGGCTGGATTCATGATCAGTTGTTCTTCTGAGATTTCATGTTTCATTATTCTTCTTCGGGCCTTCGTTGGTCTGCCGTAAGTTTAGCAAGAGATTGTTTTAAGTTAAGGAAAGCTTGCTTCTGTTCCTTATAACCAACGAACTAACGATGTCTTCTATCGTCGATATGCATCTTGTACGCTGCTAATATCATCTCTAACTCTGTAAAGAGCTGCTTCCGCCATTTGGGCTCTTTCGAACAAGTTGGTACTTTGAAGAATGACGTCATCAGTGCCTCTGCCAAGATGTTGATTTCCTCCACAAGGATTTTCACATCAGACCTCAAATGTTTATGTACCGTAGTACAGGAAAAACCGCTCAAAGACAGCAGCATTTAATTGAGTTATACTCTAATCATTAGATTTGGGTACATAAGCGTAACATTTTTATTCTTCTTGAATAATCATTATTCCCGCCAAACAAAATTGTTGCAGTGTGGGTGCACGCTTCCTTATGTTTGTGGAAGTTAAAGTACCCAGTTAAAGTTAAAGAGATACAGGAATATTCCTTCTTCTTCTGCTTTTGTTTATTATTTTCTTCTTTTGCGTTGCTTTTCATCATCGTCTCTCATTTCACCAGGGGTCCAGCGTGGGTTACGGAGAGTGGTATAGCGGTTATAATACCGGAAAGTAGGCTATGAGTATTCAGCCAGGGTTTCATACAGAATTTCATGCATAGGATGTAGGATATTCATAGGACAATACAGGAGAACATAGGACGGACGGGACAGCAGAGGATAGGCTCGGTTTAGTTCCATTAATTTTGCTCTTAGTTCTTAGTAGGTTACCTGAAACTAGATAACAACAGAAACAGAAAAACGTACTATTTATCTCACACATTGATGTTAACTTGAGATCATGATGATATGTCTGATAATATCGGATAATTTAGTCCGTCTTGTTTCCACACTAATTGTAAGTGTAAAATCTTATTCACGTTCCATCTCATCCAGAGATCTCATCTCCACAGCTAGAAATTCAGACTATGGGTAAGAATCGCTTTCAATACTACTGATCGCCAATACGAGATTTTAAATACTTTTTGAACTTTACTTAATTCGAACATTCATCATTTTTGAACATTCGATCAATAAGGATCTGCATTATTATTATGTAAACGACTGAACTCAGACTCATTTGTCAACACCTCTCTTTTATCTCCTCATTTCCGCAGTATTTATTAGTCTTCCACAGTCTTTCAGCTTTTTATTTAATCTCTAAATATTTCTTTAAATGTCTTTACTTTTCCTTACAATGAATTCCTCAAATCTTTCATCTCCATTCAAGAGGGTTATTAAAAATATAAATACATCATACATTTTGGATGATTTCCTTCCGCACCAAAAAGCAAATTCCAATTTTTGGAAATGCGATTTCTAAGTAGAGCGCTATTAAATCGGTTTTTATGTATGGTATAATAATTTACTGAGGAATCATGAATATCGTATAAATTAAATTATTAAATTTATTATTATTTACACCATGTGTTAATGTTTCAAGTTCATAATAATTAATCCACAACAATGATAAGTTACATAAAAATTCATTTATGTTAAACTCGCTTTATTTCTCCATTGTGCTCATTCTCTCTTCTTTACAAAAGCCGATTGAAAATGACACACAAATTTGTCAGGGTTAGGGACATTGTCATCCAATGCAGTCATTGCATGCATTGTTGAGTCAGGAGTTTATCTCCTCAGGATTCCACACATTTTTCTCTAGGTGCTTTAATGCAACTGTTACTTTTAAATATTCAAAAATCAAGTTGGTACTGTTGTGAATGTAGATTTGGCTACACTGTACATAGCATCCGCCATCTTGTCGTTGTCTCTCGTCTACCGTACTGTTCACCGACCTTGTATGTCCCTTGTCAACCGTCACCGTTTTTCCTCCCTTTGAATAAAGAATTGTGTCGTGTCCTCCAACTTCGGTGTTATTTGTGGCGTCCGCCGAATAGCCCTGTCACCCACCCGACTCTAAACATAACAGGTACAACTGGTATACTGGGCTTTTATTTTACTTATCTCAGGTGAGCTTGTTTCGGAAGTTGTTTCCATAGAGATCACAAATCTGGACAGTTGATATTCCATGTTTTCCATTCGAATTTTCAACTCCTCTGTAGCTTCTTTTTTTTTAAGATTTCTGCTTCATTTGCGCTGGGTTTTGCTCGACTAGTAAATCTTCCTTTCCTCATATTTACTGTAGTATTATGTATTTTATTCCATTGTTATATCTCTGCTCACTTTTCTTTATTCTCGATTTTATAACTCATATCAGTCTCGAATCATAACCTTATTTTCTGCTCACTTAGGTTATACTTTTTCTCACTCAAATTTATACTTTTTCTTCTCTAAACTCCGACTAGACAGGGCTTTTGCCTAAATGTACTGAGACTTAGATAGGTCTTTTGTGCCTAAATGCACTTTCGCGCTTAGATAGGTCTTTTTATTTATTATCGGCTGAAAGCCGTTATTTTTGCCTAAATGCACTTAGACTTGGATAGGTCTTTTTTGCCTAAATGCACTTTCGCGCTTAGATAGGTTTTTTTTGCCTAAATGCACTTTCGCGCTTAGATAGGTCTTTTTATTTATTATCGGCTGAAAGCCGTCACAAGGCCTTGTTTTTCCACGGCACAATGGCTCATTGGAGGTTAAGTCCACGGCACGAGGGCACGGGCTTAAAAGCGCTGATAACGGCACGAGGGCACGTTGGGTGGTGTGGTTTACGGTGGCTAGCGCCTACTGCGTTACCTGCACCTGGTTTTTACCGGTATATTATTTATTCTTTCAGTAAGTGTGGTGACAAGCGTCTACTGCACACAATGCTGAACTATTACTGTACGGTGACGAGCGTCTACTTCGTACTTTCGTATTTATTTTTTCCAGGATATGGTGGCGAGCGCCTACTTCATTTCTTTATCAGTGCACAACGAACTTTTTATTTAGGTATCACGTCGATGGGTCACCATTATGTGGAACACTCAATCAAAGAAAGGGACGACTCCTACATTCCACATTCAACTATGAGTTTATTTAATAATACTAGGTTAGGAATACATCAGCTGATGAGTTAACAACCCCATTAATCCGGCCCTGGGTCTTGCAACTGTATAAGACAAAGTGCAGTTATCGCTGGTATCACAGGTATCACAATTATTAAAATTTGCCGTAGCTTGTCAATTGACTTTACGCATTTTGAGACTGCAACAGCAGATCCACCATTTTGATTCTTGCATTTACCTTCTTTCAATACGAAACTGACGTCAGACGATCTTCTGTCGCTATCTAAAAGTGCATCCATTTGGCGGGGACTCTATCTATGATACTCACAAGGCAACTGTCAAAAATAATGTTTTAAAATAATCACGAAAACTTTGTCACAGTATTAATTTTTCAGTATAACGTGACTACTTTTTTGCAACCACTTTTTGTTGGTTAGATTTCTATAGTTTTGACGGAGCAGGAGTAATTTATTCATAGTTCAAATTCTTCTCCAGGCAAACCACAATCCTGTTAGCAAAATTACCATTAAAAATCAATTTCCAAGAACTCTAAATTATTTTTAGGTATTTTTTTTTTTTATTCATAGGGAAACCTCCCTCTGGGGTAAAATGTATGAGTAGGTAGAGGTTGGCTGATATTCACGTGAAAAAGTCTGTAAAAATAAAAATGTCTACCTTTTTTACGAAAAAAAATTAACATGAAAGAGTAGTAAGTGCCTTTATTGGTTTTCAAAAATCTGACAAAAAAATTTCCAAGCATTATAGTTAATTTTTTTCAAACGAACAGTGTTTTCGCACTGGCAGACATCTCAAAACAACCCCAATAGTCGAAGTATAAACTTGTTTTTCCCCCCCAATATAAAGTCCAACTATAATTCTAGCTCCTCGTTTTAAAAAAATCCCAAGGTTTAGATGATTTGTCTCGTTTAGTTTATTTCTCAGTTCAAGCTGATATAACAAACACTGAGGCAGTGAGGCACTTAGGTGATTGGCAGGAACCCATAGGCAACCTGTAAACACACAATTTGGCATACAGAGAGCTTACACAAGGTAGCAGTTATAACGGGGTTCTCACGGAAAAATATGAGCTCACTGCTATTTTGTCAGGAATGACGTCCTTGTTTACGCACTAAGGTATGATTTTTCTCATAACACGCTTTGTTTGCAGTAAATTGGATGGATTCTGCTGCTCAAAGTAAACCAGTCAGTAGATCTGTTACAGTAGAGTCGAAGTTTGAAAGATACTCGAATTCGAAAATCAAGAAATATGGAAATTACGTACTGCTCCCTCTGGTTACACAGCGTCACAGCCCTATCATTTAATACTTATTGTGAGGCTTACATCGCTTTAAGAAAAAGATAAGCCGCTAGCGCCTTCGGTTTTTTGCTTATGCAACATGGAAATCCAACGAGCTTGAATAGTTGCATCCTAGCTTCAGGATGAACGCAACGTGCGTTGCACAATGAAGTAAATCTTTTCGTCGACGTTCCCGGACGAAAGAACGTAGCTCCACTCCGAGGTTGCGGAATAGACTCTGGCAATACTATTTTCTATTAGAATGCGCCAGCACAATTTTTTTTCAAAAATTTGTCTATTTTCGTATGCGATTAAAAGAAAAATCAGTGAGATGTTCACTTAAAAAGCCCAAGATTATCCTGGTACAATTGTACAAAAACAATTTGCGAGGGAAAACTTGGCAACGTTGAAATTTAAGGTTACGTTCTTTTGTGAGAGAAACAACGAATTGGAGGGGTCGGACGTAACATAGGAGCTTTAAAAGCTGTTACTTTCATTAATAAACGTAAATATTTTGAATATTCATCAAAAGGATGCAAGAAAATTACCTGATCGTCAGCAACTCTGCCTTACTTTCTACCAGGGACTACTGCGCCGACCGCAGGAAAAGCAGTTTTCAGCATTGCCAGGGTCACCTACATGCGGTAGAGAAACGGAAGGAAGGTAAGTAAGAATGTATCGTTAGTAAGTAAGAGATGAAAGCGAAATGAGCATTCCAAAAGACAATCCAATTTAATATACCCAAAGCACGACCTAATGATTTGTGCACTTGAGATTGTTATTGCTCATTGGACCTTATCTTTAATGATTGTTCTAGTATATAACAAAATACCCTGCGTGAAAAAATATATATTTAAGTATACACTTAAAAAATACGTGCGAGGCACGTTGGGTCATGTAGTGTCTGTTATTATGTAACGTGTTTAATTTCTAACAAATGACTGAACTGCATTGAATTTTAGCTCTCACTTAATTTTCTCGAAAGTTTGTGCGATCTTTCTCATACTTTTAAGTTAGTTTAGGGCCACGATCCTCTGAGGATTCGATAGCCTCAAAATATAGGACCGAATGAAGGGATTACACGTTTATGCTGGTGAGCTTTCACATTTCCAGGGATTATAAGGCCGTTTCTGCCGATCCTTTCTTCAGCTCCGTCGAAATATTTCTACCCCGTGAGATTCAAACCCGGGATTAATGGACCTATAGTCAGACGCGCTGACCATAAGGCCAGCAAAAGCAGCTTTTTAAGTTCTTATATTAAGAAAGTTATAATTTCCTCCCTATAATTTTTCAGAGGAAACTTAGAAATCACCCTAATTTGACGTATCCTTATCTACGCCATTGATACATCTTTGGTTGTAAATTCAGTTGTGCAGAATCAAGATTGTGATTGTGATTGTGAATCTGGTAATGTGAGTAGCTAAGAGGGAAATTGTAGGCGTCTAATTTCTTATATTATTAATAATATTTTAGTCAAGTAATATTTATAGTAGTAATATTTTAGTCAAGATTTACGCACATTTTCGTTATTGTCCAATTTTATTTCCTGCGATCATAAAAATACTATTATGCTAAATAATGTGGCAACATAGACCTATATTATTACTGCAGAAATAGTGATTTTATTGTAAAATGAAGTATTGAAGTGAGGGAAATGAACGTGTTTCTGTCAAATGGAACTATGTGCATTATGACGTGAGCCCGGTTATACGTGTATTCGTATGAGTCTCAGGGCTCATGTCTGAATGCACATAGTTCCGTTTGACAGAAATACGTTCAAATATTACCTGTCCAGCCTGAGGAGCCATGCTTTGCACTCTTTTGAGAATGTTTCGAAGGCGCGCCCTACCTCTACTCATTTGAGGCAGCGGCTCAGGAGCTCGTCGAGATAACATCTGAAACTATCAAATTGAATTGGTTTAGAGGGCAAGATGAGTAAAGGTAACTCCAATAAAGTTCCCAAAAGAGCGGTATGTCGAATTCAACCATCTAATCTACCTTGATATTTCTATAAAATCATCGCTGAAAAAGGTAAGTTACCGGTTATACAGGGTGTCCCAGGATTAAGTACGAATATTGAAGGAGTCGCCCTGGTAAAAATTCGCGATAAAAACTACGTTTCAAAATACCATAGGAATTCTTATAGCCGGCTAAAGAAGGCTACAGAAAATCATATAACTGGCTGTAGAATGTGGGAAAATCATACGGCCGGGCTATACGAAGCGATAAAAAATTATGCAGCCGGGCTATAGTTCCTATCGCCGGGCTTTACACTTTATCGCCTGGCTGTTGCTTTTTCGCCATCGATTATAAAAGGCTATAAGAAATTGTGTAGACATTCGTGTGCTTTGGAAATCATTAAGTTTGATACGGAACCACCTTAATATTGACAAAACATACATTATATTTTCCTTTAATACATATTTTTTTCATCAATTAAAACGAGAATAGTTCATACAGAGTGTGCAAACATTTAAAAATCATGAGTTGAATAACGCTGACTCCGCCAGATTAAATATTAGAGCCTAACACAAAGCGGAACGGCGACGCACTGGCGCCTACAAACCTAACCGTGATACTTCACGCATTGCGCAACGCGTGAAGTATCCCTGTTGGGTTTGTAGGCGCCAAGCCGCGTTTTGCGCTGGCTGCCCGCTTGCCACGGCGCTTGAAGCAACTATTTCACACCAGAGGTATTGCACAGTATCATACGAAACTGAAGGCGCTCTAATATATTAGTAATGGCAGGCATCCATCAAAAGTACGGAGCTTTCCTCGCAAAATAAATCAAGATACTACGGCCCAAAAAGAGAGCAGTATTCCAAAAACTCACTAAGTCATAGCATCCGTAATTCGTAACGTTTAGCATACACTTTATCGCCTGGCTGTTGCTTACTCGCCATCGGCTATAAAATGCTATAAGAAATTGTGTAGCCGGCTATAGAAGCTATTGGAAATCTTACAGCCGGCTGTAAGTCTATGGTATTTTGGAAGACAGATTCTACTGCCAATTTTTACCAGGGCGATTCTTTGGGTCAAAAGAAGACGTTTTTGTGGTATAAATTTTTTTCGAAAAACGCTTACCGTGGTGGTCCCATTATTCCCCTATTATCAGCTCCTATTAGTCCCTATTACCTCAGAAACGATGAGTTTTGGCGAAAAAACGCAGGAGACATTATCTCAATATTTTTTAACGCTGAATCTTGTGATGCCGTCAAAAATCAATTTTTGTCGCTAGAAACATTAATTTTGGCCACTTTTAGGATCTGTTCCCCCCCCCCCCTAAACCCCCCCCCCCCCACAAAATGAATTTTACCTCAATTGGTGGTCATAATGAAAAGAACGCAAAAAGTTATTCCCGTTCACCAATTTTCATTAATATTGGTTAATAAACATTGCCGCAGTGTTAAAAAGACGATTTTTTCCCTCCAATTTTGGGGAGTCATGGCGCCCAGAGAAAGCGTTCTTGGAAAAATATTTACACCAAAAAAACGTCTTTTTTTGACCAAAAGAATCGATTCCTTCAATATTCGTATTTAATTCTCACCCTGCATACATACCGTCCGTTCCGGGCTCAGAGGCCGAATATTCCAGGTGCTGAAGCCGTAGCTTCGATTGCTCCGGGTGCTGCGCCCGGAAGTTTCGGCCTCTGAGCTTGAGCCCGAAACGCGGAGGGTATGTCTACGTAGCTCGTAAAAATGGCTTCCACGGCCAGAGTTTTTTAGCGGCTCTGGTGCTTGCACTAGAGCTGCTATTCCGGACGGTCCCAGCTGGGGAGTATCATTGGACCATGTTACATTGGAGAGACCGCGCGTTGGTTAATGGGAATCGGCGCCATTTTCGGCTATGTTCCTTGTCATGACTTTATTTTATTGCATATTGTTTTATTGTTAGCCAATGCTATGTTGTGTAGTGTATTTTTGGAATCATAGTGATACAGTCAATAATTCAAAACTTGTCTGTGCTTTTAATCTCGTGATGGAAAAAATGTACTTTACGTTCAAAATTTGAAAATTTGAATTTTAAAGTTTTCGCGGTTAAGGAAGCTCCAACCACTGGGTTGGAGCTTCCTAGTCATATTACTCGATATCAGCTGATAGCAAACAAAGGTTACCAAGGAAACCGTAAACGTCTAACCGTGGCCATCGGGGCGATTATTGAAATGACATCGACTCTATGTCGCCGCTTACGACAAGACATATAGCCCTATCTTAACCATGTAATATATCGCAATTCGATATTCAAAACCATTACCTACAATTTCAGATATAAAAATGCAAATTTTTTGCAGCCTCGCTAAACGACTTATCAACCATGCATTCCAAAGTTTCTTATCACAGGGCTGTGAAAATATACAATCTAATAAATACAAAATAACCAAATATCTAAAAAGACAAAATTTCAGTTACAGTCAGTTTCAGTCTTATTGTTGCACAAACTAGTTATTTGACAAAAAAAGAAGATGATCACTCAATTGAAAGAAATTGGCGCCCAATCACAACGACAAGTTAAAAAAAATACTGTGGGAGAAATTTTTTAGGATGCGGACCTCCAAAGAGCCTTCAAAATTAAAAGTATACAACAAGTGATAGTGCCATGCATTCTGCATATCAAGGGCCAATACACATTTATACACCGGCTACGTAAATCTGCTAAGTTACAAAACATGAATCGACAGTTGTCGGATTGTACATCAGTGACAAAATGTGTCTAGGCCCTCATTCTTGACTACAACTACTGTCCCCAGAGCCGCTCTCCGACGCGAATGCGTTGGAGCTTCCTGCTTGTTTTTTTTTTTCAAGTGCACAACGGTGACATTGGTTTGGTTATCTCCATAAAATCAACTTTTAAACTTATTAATGGAAGCTTTTACAATTGAAGCCGCAACTTTGAAGTGTCCAGAAACTCAAACTTCGGCTTCTAAGGTAATAGTTATCATACGGCAAATGCCGCTGAATAGATTGCGCCTTCATTTATGTGTGATACAATTTTACCTCCACGCGGAATTAACGTACTAGGCAAAGTGAATGTCATTATCATACCTCTACTTGGGCAGCAATGTTTTCTTCTGCGATGGTAGACGGTGCTCGTCTAGCGATGAGCCGCTCAACGCCTAGTTCCTCGGCATTCAGCAATGTCTCTCCACTTATGACCCATTCATGCACGCAGAAGAAAGCCTAATGAAATTGAAACAAAAAATAATATATTGAAAAAAATTCATCGTTAATTTTATAATATTGAAATACAGATACAGATAATACAGATTGTGGCCGGATCTCTGGCCGGACAATATCTACTAGATATTGTCCTAAAGTAAACTTGTGCAGACGTACCAAAAGCAAGCGAAAGAGACGTAGTGGAAGCCGCATGTTGGGTTGAAATGCACTTAGTGACTAGAGGCGCCGCGGGACTTATGGCCGTAATAAGTGCAAAATTTGAATATTTGACCAACTGTCCCGCGAATTTTGAGTCAACATTACCACACTGAGATTCCACTCGACCGTTTGGCTGTTTGCACATTGCGTTTTGCCGGGACATCTTCCTCTCCTCCCCTCGAAACGGTGATTAATCTAGCTATGCGAAGTTTTCATATAGTGCTACGATAACACATGAGAATACATCTTGATTTCGTTGAGCGGAAATTCTTGTGAAATGGACCGGAATTGAAGCTGAAAAATAATAATCTGTAAAATTTTAAGTAATTAAATGAATCCAGTAGGAAAAAACGAAAAGCTTAGACATATAGGTATTAGAGGAAGGCTCAGGAAAGCTCGAGACAGAGGGTTTTAATTTTTTTGGAATCAATACATTTTAAAGACGAAGAAATTAAAATACTCAACTGATGAAAATTCTCAAATCTATAAGCGCTCATTCTTTACCATAAGTTAATCAAGGTTACAAAAGCAAACGAGTTTAAATGAGCTCCGAGTGAACTGAGAGTCGTAGAGGGGAGGGGGGATGAATGGAAAAATACGCTACTTTAATATTCGACAATGTTGACTTAAAAATGCTTTAAAGTTCGACAAACTGCCCTATCTTTAGCAAAATGGTTTCAAGTAAAACTAGTCAAAATGCACAGTAGGGGGTCCGCCCCCTGGCCGCTACGTATGGCTCAACCGGCGGGGTGCTGCGCGCTGTCTAAGGCCCGCTTTGCGGCCAGCGAAATCGTCGAAATCGCCCGTTGGCCGTTAATATGGAAAAACTTAATTGAATAATAAAACTATGTTTCAAAGAAAAATTTCCTTCCACACAATATTCTTAATGACTCTCTCCTCACTCTGAATTTTGATTCCTTCTTTGGAATTCGACCTTTGGACCGTCTTACTCTCCTTCCTAACCCTGTCCATCGAGCGTTGGAAAAATAATTTTATTAGAATAGAGAGGATTCTGTGAAAAAATCGCTTCCAAATTCCAATTTTTAAGTATCAAAAAGTCAGTTTGAACTTTCTTTTCGTCATGAGGATCTATGTGATTTCAAAACCGCGAACTTCTCAAAAGATCAAAACTGCACTTATGCGCCTTGACCTCCAAGCCTCTCAATTGAGGTACCTACCTACCAATAAAAAACAAACCTCAGAATAATATTTGCAGAACGAATTCTCATCTGCTGAACATTTAGGTATAGTGCGCTCGCAGAATACTTCACGAATAATTTGAAAAGTTCCTCCGTGTAAACGGCAACATTACAGTGCAGTTAATGCAAGTTTGGCGATGAGGAAGACGCAAACGAAAGCAATAAAACTGAGTAAATAAACGTTTCAATGGGGTGATTTAACAGATGACACTATGCAGGAGCAATTTTCCTCCACATCAACTGTCATAAATTGTGTTGCGCACGTATACGGTAGAACTGGCCATGGGATGATGTTGTTCATGGTCATGCATAATGGCACCCTTCACTCTCCACATCTCTTGGATTTTTCCTTTCTTCCACCTTTTTTCCTGAAGCTTACGGAAGGTGTACGTCAAAGAATTAAAAGACCTCAGGCTTGATTAAGCGGATGTACTTCATTATTTCATTTAATTGTTCTGAAGGGCTATTGGATGATAGAGATCTTTGGTGGTTTATAGGGTGTCGCAAACATGCCAGAGAGCACTGAGCAAGCAATGATTGTTACAGCGGTCAATTTAAAACACCTCTAGTCAAATTGTATCTTGTTTGATGCGCGAGTTTCAGATACTAACATTTGATACAACTATTCGTGCTCGCCGGTTGTCTTTGTTGCATACACACAATTTTGAAGGCGCTCTAACCTTCCACTCCGCATTACCAGCATAGCGTTCCCTGGGCTGGGTAAAAAGATCGAATTACTCGGGGTTCTATACCTTCCAATCTATCCCCCGAAGCACAAGAATGAAATGTACACCGAAAAACAAAGTTAAGTTGATTTAACATTCTGAATATAAAAAAAGTGTGCGAGGACTTATAAAATGCTGAATTACCCACTACAGCAGTTAAATTAGCAATGTCAAGATGTAAAACTAACTGCTGTGGCGGGTAATTCAGCGTTTTATAAGTTCTCACACACTTTTTTTTACATCCGGAATATTAAATCAACTTCACTCTTTTTTTCGTACACTATAGAGCCAGGATATAAACGTACCACGGCTATAATGACTGAAATTGAAGTCTTACATTTTGTCAATGGTTTGGAAATATACTTGATTGATAAAAAAATGTTGGAGAATTAAAGCATATTGATTTCAGCCCATAAGACTTTAGCATGGACCGTGCGGGTTGCCAAAATTTCTGTTTAAACAAGGGATGAGAAATCTTCCTTTTACTTTTTTTTACTGGACGTTAACATTTTTCGGACGCGTCATTCGCGTTTTTTGTCATTTATTCCATTGGCATATGGAGCTCCAAGAAAAAATATTGGTGGATGTGATATATATCTGCCATAAGGTTATCATGCAAGATGTACTATTTTTATTCCCTTAAAAAGGTTCTCTTCATGAAAGTTTGAGGAAAATTCATCCGTTTAATCTTTCGCAGAACGCTTCAAAAGTGAGGTTTGAGTAAAGAAACCTCGTAAGGATTAATCAAATTGAAAATCTCTTGACTCTGCTGTATAAACAAATTGGGACTTGAAAAACCGCGTGTATTTCATTGAGAAAAATAAGAGATGGCGGTCGTATTTTCATTTTTTTTATTTGGACTACATTTTGCAATTTGGAATTATACATTCTAACCCGGTTTAAATATAACGTATGTGCCATTAGTTTCCCTATGCATATAAGTGTTTTTCCAGAAGAACCAGAATTTATAGGTCCAAATTGCGAAATGCAGTCCGTTTCATCATCAGTTAAATTCAAACGAAATAAGGAAGAGGGGGTGTTTTCTGTTGTTTCTCCACCATATAACAACTTTCCTGTGTTGAAATTATTCCGATTTTTCCGACTTAAAGTTCTGGAGCACCGAATCAAGATTTTTTCTATCTCTTTTTCCACACGTGTAAAAACTAGAATGTGCCGCGATGACGAATAAAAAACAACACGCGATTTTGTTTTTTAGATGTCTTGTCATCCAATCTACCTGTCTGGATGTTTCTCGTGTCGGAAGTGTTCGATTTCAACGGACCCATACGATGTGCGTGCTTAACGTAACACCTTATTGTCAGTGGGTAGCTAACCTCTTAGGTAGATGGACCAACAAACGTCGTTTGTGCTTATTTCATCATGGATTACCGTGTTCTCCTGCTTTTTCATTCCTCATTTAGCGGCTAGCGGTAAGATCTGTTTGAATTTCCTTGGATATTTTCTTATGCGAGAGGACGATTACCTAAGTAATGGAGATGTTGCATGTGTGAGGGATTTGCGATTTGAGTGTTAATTCTTATTATGTAAAAATTCGCGAGAAACACGATGGTGCCACTGGTTTTCTCTGAAATCATCTCCCAAGCTCAAAAAAAGCTCCCAAAGTGAGGCCAAAATGGAGGGGATATCCCGTCCTACCCTGAGAGTCCACCTGTACATCAAAACAAGCTCTCCATGCAAAGATAGGGAGCAAATATATTATCAGGGCTACCAATTTATTTGGGGACTCCAAAACTGAAAACACGGCATCACTGCTAATGTATTTGCTGCCTATCTTTGCACGGAGAGTTTGTTTTGATGTAGAGGTGGACTCTCAGGGTAGGGCGGGATATCCCTCCATTTTGGCCTCACTTTGAGAGCTTTGTTCGAGCTTGGGAGATGATTTCAGAGAAAACCAGTGGCACCATCGTGTTTCTCGCGAACTTTTACATAAGGAATACCAGTCAAATCGCAAATCCTTCACACATGCAACATCACCATTGATGTGATCAGTTAACAAAATCAGAATATTGTGAATTGGAACTTTCTCTGATAGGAGGGCAGCGGCAGCATTGTAAGGATTTAAATTTCGGTGCGGAAAGTGAAATTTGACGAAAATACTGTCAAACTATTACCGCAGGGTGGAAAGCAATATTTGGACGAGATAACGCAATTTTGAGCGTTAAAATTGTCGAACAATGTTAACCAAACAGAGAAAGTCACGGAACGGAAGCATTGTAACGGAATAAGCCAGGTGAACAAGATGGACCTGACTTGGGCACTCGAAGACGTTGAAAGGGATCGTGCCGGTTTCGCCGCGGGGAGGGCGTACCCGTCGTCCAATGAGCCGTCGCCTAATGGAGGGAGGGATCCGAAAAGACGTAAGGCGGGTCCAGGCTCGGGTTGACTTTTAATGCTGCCGTGCTAAGGAAAAACGCCGTATGAACCTTCAGGCGTTGCCAAATTTCCTTTCATAAAACGCGACATTTCTGGAAACTTATTAGTATTTTCTTCCCAATTTTTCAGATAATTTTTTTCACAACTTCACCCGAAGATTCTGAAAATTTTAAGGAAACAGATTCATAACTTTTCTCAAAAATAAACATTTTGTCGAAGGAAAATCGGCAACTTTCGAATTTCATACGGCGTTTTTCCTTATTAGCACGGCAGAATGGGCGAGTAGACAAGTTCAAGCATTCCGATTCCCATTCCCTAGCCAGAATGTCATGCAGAGCACGATTCGCGCAACGAAAAATACTAAATCTAACGCCTAATCAAGATATTCCACGTTTTTCGATGCGCAAATTCAAACCTCCCTACTCATCGTAGGCGGATTCAGATACTTCAAATGGGGGTGGGGTGGGGGGTGGGAGATGGGTATGGATTTCTCAGTGTTTTCTTTCTCATTTGTGCCTTGGAGATTTTTATCGAATTAATAATTTCTCACAAGAATCTTGTTCATTTATTTCTGACCAAAAAAGTCTTCGCTGCAAAAAATCATCATTTCTGACTGCAGGTGCAACTTTTATTTTCAGGCCTCTCATGACCAGATTAAACTGAAAACTGAAACATGCCCACGTTCCGCTCTGCGTTTATAGCTCAGATTCCTATTTTGCGTCTGAAAAGGACGCATTTACGTGAAAATGTGCCAAAAGATAACACAATTGGTACAGCTTTTAGGATGAGAATGAGATATGGGTTTATTTACATTTAATCCGGAAAAGATAGCAAGAGATATTTTCCATTCCATCTTTGTTTATGGGCCAAGAAGTTCTCTGTTGACCGTACTTATCGTTTTCTCATTGCCGTTGCGTATAGTCATACGCACGCACAATGACGCAGGACATGGTCTATGTGAGTCATAGCTGGAAATTTCTGGACAGTCACAAGGCTGTAGTTTTTTTCAAAGTTTGATTGACAATCTGAGTGCATGATTGGAAGTGCTCAGCAGAAAGCAGTAGAAAAAAGAAGCTTTTAAAGATGTATAAAATACAGACATATGATATGACAGGTATATGAATTGAAAAATAATGTTTTCTGCCGATACCTCATTGGAGCTGAAAATTGCCTTGCCCTCATTTCCCGAAACTGGTACTAAAATCCGGAATTTTTGAGATTTTCTCGAATTTTTCGCGGAACTTTTGAAATTCTCGAAATTTTTCGGATCTTTTGCATTTTCCAGAACTTTCTCGGAACTTTTGAAAAAATCCAAAAAGAATCCCGGAACTTTTGCAGGTTATGAAGTGGGAGAAATGGGAACAAGAAAAGTTCCGGATCCCGGAACTTCATTTTGCGGACATGGAATGGGAGCAATGGAAAATTGATGGGCTGCAAAAATTCTCATGTCCAAAACTTCTTATAAACAAAGGTAGACGAATTAGAAATTTTTTAAACAAGTTTGGACAAGAAGTTATACTTATAAGAAAGTTATAAGCGTTTGTACATTACATTAGAGCCAGCAGACTCAATAACCGAACTAATTTTATTAAATTTTGCAAAACAGATAATCATTTCTTCCATCTCTCTTAAGAAACGACATATTTGACTTTTGCTCACCTATATAGATAGGTGGTTCCATAGATAAGCAAGAAATAGTGATTCCTTTTTCCAAGGTGAAGTATAATTTAGTATCAATAGACTGAAGAAGAGAAGTGTTTTAATATCTGTAGTAGAAATTGAATGCAGATTACGTTCTTAGAAAAACTTATACCTATTCGTATCCACTTACGGAGATCTTTTCAATAATTATTGATAGATCATCGATCATATTGATAATTGAAGAACATAGTTAAAATCGAATTTCGATAGCGTTGTGATCCCTGATACGATGGGTATTGGCGACTCTCATGGTTCTTATACGCTGAGGACGAGAAGGCACCACTCGTCTCGCAAGGTCAATAAATCGATAGGTTAACTATCAATAAACAACGTTGCCGATTTTTAAGCAAAATCTCCTCACAAAAAGGAAACCGGTGAATTTTGTCTCTAAAGTCTACTCAAAGTTTATATTAACTGATGAACATGGTAGGCTGACATGATAGAAAATTTACAATACTAAAATTCTTCAATATTTTTCCATAAATTTTGGCTTTTTCGTTTTTTTAGATTTAAAAAACGATGCGCCTCAGAAATCTGGATGCATTACTGAACGATTTTTTTCTAAAATATAGATCATGGTCATGGACTAAATACATTTTCCAGCAAATATATAGTAGTCTTTCAGTTGACAACTTCCGCACAAAAAAGATATTTCTAAATTTCAAAGTTCACGACTGACACATTAGCGGTCATTTGGAACCTTCATCAGAATTAGAATTAAAAATAAAAAGCGCGCAAATTTTTTGTAACAATCCAGATGATCCTCCAAAATTGAATTTTCTAAACTATCCATACTAATAATTCAGAAAATCTAATTTGATACACAGCAAGGGTGAACTTTTAAGCGATATAGTAAAAAAAAAAAATCGGTATTTTTCCATCTAAAAAAACGATGACTTCGTTGAAAATGTGACAGAGTTGTTCACGTGATTTATTATCTTCAATACTACATGATTTAATATTTCTAACTTTCCCGCACAATTTTCCACCCAGAAAATTTTTGCCCGGATATTTTAATGGTTTTCGGTGTGTTTTTTTTTCAGGAAAAATCCAAAGATTTTCCGCCGTAATGTACCGAGAATCACGGTAAAAAATTTGAATAGTGAAAGTTGACAACAGTTCTCGAGCATTCAGTTTTCTCCACTTCGAATGAATGTGACATAGCTGTGATTAAAGCTGATCTTCGACCTGGCGGCTTTATCTCAGCGATATTGTTCCAAAAGGTCTGTAGCAGTGATGCCAGATTTACTAGTAACCACCACCATTCCAAGCAGCATTTCTCAGAAAATTCAACTTTTTACCATGATATGACAAGGCCGTCAATCCTAGATCACAACGCGAACAATAGGCAGCGAAGCAGTCGCGTTTTGGGGGAAGCAGCCTCATAGTCACATTTTAAAGCTTGATTTTTTAACATTTGCAAGTTTCTTTTTCAGTTAAGTTTATATTAACTAATTATTTTTTATCAACTTATTTTTATTTAGTAATAGATAAGTGCAGGCTGTGATCAAAGTGCTTCGTCGCCAATGTATGAATGAGTGTGCTAGAAGCGACTGCTTGCAGGTTATTTCATTTGTTTTAGAATTGAGAGAGTACGTATCTGTTTCCCGTGCTCTGCAAAATTAGTGCGAATTTTTTCCGAATCCATGTGTCTAAATTTGAAATGTTCATGAAAAGGCGTGCAGTGATCATTGGATCGGATTTTGAATGAATTGTGTTTTCCTCGTTTTCTAAAAATCGTGACAAATTCCGAGAATTTAAAATGTAAGTATTTAGGATTATATATCATTGTGTTTTCTAAATATCAAGAAAAAAATCAGTTGCTTGACAAGCTAAAACAAGGATTCTGGATTTTTAAGAATATATTTAGCTATTTTTCTTCGTTTCCTTCTGTATTGTTTTATTCAAAACATTACAAACTTAACTACCTAAAATTTTCCGAGAAAATTGGAAACAGTTATTTAAATGTCGCACGATCAGCATATATACGAAACAAATCTGCTGAATCCTTTTGGATAAAAAACGAGTCATAATAAGCAGTTTCTAGGTGCATGTCGAACGCTGAAACTTCCAAACCGCGTACCTCAGTTTGTGAAGTTGCAGACTTCCTCTCATACTGAATTTTTTTAATGGAAAACTACTCAATGCCAATGCCTTAAAACTTTCATGACTTTTTCTTCTCTATGCGAAGAAAACCCTGTGAAAACTTTGAGGAATGATGTTAGTTTGCTCTTTTTAAAAAAAATAAAATAGGAACGGAGATTTTTAAACACATCACACGAGATACGGGGTTTGGGACTTTCAACGTCGATGTGTTTGCTAGAGAGTGATAGGTAGAGGTGATACTATCCTCTTGATTGGCCAACCGGCACTAAAATGGAATGCAAGAAATACTAGGTCAGTAAGAACTTTATCAACATTGAGAATCTCCTGTGCAAATATTGACGTTAAGAAATGCTCCTTACGCGATGCCAATTTATTGAGAGTATCGCCTTATCAGGTGCGTAATCACGCGCAAATGCTATCAGAATCATTTTGACCATTCTCTAAACGTTTGGAAGAATCTAGTCTCGTGATATAGTGATTATGCTTCACTTGGATTGACACCCCTGAAGATGAGATGTAATAACCATCGGTCGACAGTAATCTTGAATCGAGGACAATTCATTTATCTTTTTCAAACGTAATTATGTAAGTCTTGCAGTCGTGAATCGTTCATTTTTTATGACCTAGGATTAGGAATATAGGTGCAAGATTCGGAAAGATATGCGGTAACAATCCATTTGTGTTATGGTCCATGTGTGTTGAATCAAAAATGTAAAAATTCAAACGTAAAGATAAAGAATAGAGAGTACTGATTATTAGCTTGGGATTCAAACATACTTCTTTTTTTTCTTTTTTTTGTGTGTGTATAATACCAGCTTGAACACTCTTAAACGCGCCTCCTTAATCAGAACCTTTAACTTGGTTTGGTTCGGTTAGGCAACTAAACTAACTACTCGGCAAAGCGGGGAGCATCACCGAGATTTGAAGGCGCTCCAAGTCGAGGTCGTGATTCCGAGACTGTTTAGTGTGTCGATGCGAATTATTACAATTTGACGAGTTATCATGCATGCTGCTCGCGATTTTCCGGCGATGCCTCACTGCCTGTGGCATATACTTTTAACATACACATTTAACTTTCTTTAATTTCAGGTCTGGCGATCATGCCGGACACAGACACGCCGAGCACGGGCACGGAGAGGCAAAAATGGAAGATCTAGTCACCGGAAAGTTCCCTTTGGATCATGAATTTATTTTGGAAGCGGCGGAAGAGAAGGAGGCACTCCTCAGTCCAGTTTACACGTTCTTTGCATTCGTATTCACATGCTGCTCGCTGCCATTCGTTTTCTCCGTTTACTTTGGTAAATCCTCTCATCTAAAACTACGAGTTCAAAGTTTCAGTGCACTCGAAAAAGAGGACTAAAGGAAAAATTTAAAAAAATAAAACAAAACAAAAAAACAAGAAATAGCAAGAAGAACATGTTGCACATTCCGTCGTTTCCTGTACCAAAAGGAAGTTACTACATTTCAATGTTGTCAATTTTTCCCCGCGCAAATTGCATTTTTATGCGGAAAATCTTAGGAATCTCTGATTGAAAATTTCAGTGATATTTCCTCTGATCTTCTGCAAAAATCAGAGAAACGTTGAACACCTCGTTCTCTTGTGCAGTTGTGTAAAAAGAAATCCAACCTGGCAGACCAGCGTTTGATTTCGTGCTTTCCTACTGGCTAACGGTCAGAACAGAAAAATATGATCTTCCTTTTTTGTTGCAGTTCTAAAAATTTCTTGCTCATGGTTGAATATAATCCTGGGCATTTTATAATAATTCGATCAATGAATTTGTACTTAATGGTACTTTGGAATTAGTCAAAAAACCTTTACCCTATAAAACCAGAATTATATAACTTTAAATTTTTTTCAATATCATTTTAATTTTTGTACCCATTTTTGAAAATTATCTTATAGCATTTTTAATAACTGCTAATTTGACTTTTCTTCTTGTGTTAAACAACAAAAGAGACACCACTCTCTCTTTTTCCTGAGTGTAAAATGGCTTCCTACAGGTTTTACAGATGTCCTAAAGGATTATTTTGTATTGCAGGTGTAAATTTTTGCAGACGCTTATGGCTGAAACATTTACAAAGGAAGTTCCCTGATCTTGAGTTTGTAAAGAGAACGTCTTTGAGAACCGCTATGGACACTATACGCAACCAAGGTATAGTTACCGTTTTGCTTCAAGTAAAGGGAAGCTGTAACGTAGCTCTGTTTCGACAGAAAATTCAAGTAAGTCTGGAAATTCATAGCGTTCTCCTCAAAACCCAATTTCCTCTCACGTTTTTCTGCAAGGTTATTAAAGTGAGGAGTTATTCAACGAAATGCTTCGCACATTTTCTACACGTGTTTTTCATTTTTTAAAACCGTTCACCAAATATATTAGTCGTGCCAATTGCCAGAAATTACGGGTAATATTTTCCGCGGGAGTGAATTGAGTGAATTCTACCCTCTCTCTGAGCTTTTGATGGTGAAGTTATTGATATCATAGGGCGAAAGAGTCAGAATTCAGGTATATTTTTGATTAAAAATTTAGGAGTTTTCCAAATATATCATAGATTCTGTATTATTTTGAAATAAAAAGCAACAGATATAATGCAATTTTATGCTGGGGCGATTTTCAATCAGTTTAGATTTAAAATTTAGTTTTTTCAAACTTTTCAACTTAAAATCTCTAAAGTTTACGAGAGATTTCTGATATATTTATCATCATCCTGTAATTTTCTCCTTATTTTTTGTTGATATTGTTACAGGAAGAAATTTTGAACAAACGCCACCCTAATGGTAGGCTTTGTTTTCCTCACCTCACGTGTAAGCTTACCAGCAGGTATGGAAGATACGCTTGGAAGACCACGGTAGATTTTAATATTGAGAATCATATATTAGTCGCAAATACAACCCAGTACAAAGGCCGCTCTGTATCGGAGGATAATATTCAGGTATTGCGTCAACTGATTCGTTAACTCGCGCAAAGCAGCAATGTTGAACATTAAAACTTTATTGATTTCTTGTCAAGTGACCTCGATAGACAAAGCCCCTTACGTCATAGGCAATTTTCAATCGAGGTCATTAAACAAGCCGTCATATTGAGTCCCAATATTTAATCTGTAGGATGCAAATATTCTTACTCTGGAGCGGTGCGTTTTGCATTTCGATCAAATCAAGGCGCTTCGCCACCAAAGTTTGTCAATGAGCCGTAGGCATGCGACGAGAGTGTTATGGACAGGGTTCATGAGATATCCACTCAGATACGCGGATCGTCATCTCTGTCGTCGCCGCCGACGTCATTTCCATTCATTCTTATGATCCTGAACATACGAGCACACTCCTCCTTTCCACCCGTTTATGGTTTCTTTAAGCACAGACACGTCCAATGCGTCAGTTACGCTAGCCACGGAATCGCGTTGTGATGCTCGATTCTTATAGATTAGCTAATAAATAAGGTCTGTCTAAAGAGCAACTTTTTACATTCAATATAAGCCGAGATATCGCCTTCTGAAAAGTCGGGTTTTTGACGTCATCCACCGACCAATTGTGCCGTTATCGTGCTGCAGATGACGTCAAAAACCCGTCTTTACAAAGGGCGATATAGGTATCTCGGCTAATATTGAATGTAGAAAATTGCTGTTTGGGTAGATTTTATTATTATTAGCTAATCTACAAGAATCAAGCATCAAAACACGATTCTGTGACAGCGCAACTGACCCATTGTTCATAAAAAGTGTTGGATCCCCGAAAGTAAAGTTCTACTTGTCGCCGAGACACCAATGGAGGGCTCCTCTTTGTCTTTGGACACAACTGAACGTATTTGTGCTAAATGGAACTATATGCAAGTGGAAAGATGGGTTGTGCTCGTTACTTGAGGGCCATAAGAATGAATAGGATTTTAAAAGCCCCAGTGACCCCAGCGGTGAGGACCGGGCTCGTCGCGTTTGACGGGAGCGACGACGACTAGGTCGAGGTCATCAGTCTTTAACTCATGAGCCCTGTCCACAAGGCTCTTGTGTTATGCCCACGGCTCACGAGTCAGCGCTCAGTTCCTCTAGATTTAATGTCAAATCCCGCTTTTCCATTTTCTTAAAAGGAACTATATCCACTTTTACATTGTTTCTTGCACGAACACACCCCATCTTTCCACATGCACATTGTTCCTCTCCTCATAAGTACGTCCGACTATAACCTAGGGTTTCTTCTGCCCACTATCAGGAGTTCGTGAGCGACATCGTCTCGAAGTACCTGCCGACGGACATACCCCCATGGCAGATCACCATCATCCCGGTGACCTCCTCCGACGAGGAGCGCAGCTACATCCTCATCCGGATCCACCACATCCTCCTCTCGGAGGACAACATCAAGCTCGGGCACCTCCTCATGCTCCAGCGGACCCGCGAAGACGAGGACACCGAGCAGGACTGGCCACTTCTTCGTCCCGACGACGAGCGGGACCTCGAGTCCATCCAGGCCGTGCTAGAGAGCGCTACCGTCAAGCCCGCCGCCACCGTCCGCCTATACGAACGCTTCTGCGAGTCCCTCACCAACGCCTGGAACGAGCTCGTTTACCAGTACGACCCGCTGGAGAATCCCTGTGTGCTCAAGGCGCCGACGCTCTTCAACTACGCCATCCTGTGCCTCATATCCGGGGTCTATGTCATCAAGGATTATTGCAATTCTGGGAAGCATGCTGTCGAGGCGCCCTCGATTCGGGCCATCGCTAGGAAGGAACTCAAGAGACGCAAGGTAAGTCCTGAGACATAATGGAGATGTTGCATGTGTGAGGGATTTACGATTTGATTACTGATTTTCATGTAAAAGTTCTGTACTGATTTTCATGTAAAAATGTAGGTAAGAGATTACAAAATATAATGTCGATAGGTCTGGCAATTATCGATCGGAGTTACAAATCATAACTTATATTTATCTTTGATTTACGCCTGGGCAGGGCGCCTGGCAGAAGAGAAGCACTTCAGGACGGCGGCGCTGCGCGCAGCGCATCGTCGCCTATGATACGGCGATAATCCAAAGCGCCTTCAATTAGTTATGTATGCAACCTGGGCGTCCCCTGAGCTCGAATAGTTGCGTCAAGGAGTTGTAATATATCTATGTCTTTCCGCATGCTGAGAACACAGCTGCGCTGCGATTATTGTAATAGAGATGTTGCATGCGTGAGGAATTTGCGATTTGACTGTTAATTCTTATGTAAAAATCGCAAGAAACACGATAACGCCACTGATTTTCCCTGAAATTAACTCCCAAGCTCAAGAAAAGCTCTCAAGTTGAGGGCGTAATGAAGGGGATATCCCACGCTATCCTGAGAGTCCACCTCTACATCAAGACAAACTCTCCATGCAAAGATAGGGAGTAAATACATTGACAGGGCTGCCACTTTATTTGGGGACTCCACAGCTGAAAACACGGCAACCCTGCTAATGTGTTTACTCCCTATCTTTGCATGGAGAGTTTGTCTTGATGTAGAGGTGGACTCTCAGGATAGCGTGGGATATCCCCTCCATTTTGGCCTCAACTTGAGAGCTTTTTTTGAGCTTGGGAGTTAATTTCAGAGAAAACCAGTGGCACCATCGTGTTTCTCTTGAGTAGTCAAATCGCAAATTCCTCTGACATGCAACATCTCCATTGCCGTTGTCAAGGTCGATGGCAGAGAGAAAACAAGAGCCTGCGGGCGGATTATTGAAAATAGACGAAGCTATAGGCAAAGAAGACAAAGGGAGTGTGGAGCTATCCTGTTGGTTGAAATGGGTGGTTCCTATGGACTAAAAGAGAAAATGATGGACTAACTATCGGGTCCCTCGTGTGTTCAAGTTACTTCGTCTGTTATCTAATTTCTTTGTCCATTTGCTACCACCCGCTTCCAATAGGATCCCTCCATATCTCGCTTGTCTTCTTTGTCTATAAGTTTCAATAATCGGCCCGCAGAGACGACATTGCCGTTGTCAAGGTCTATGGCAAAGAGAAAATAAGAGCCTGGATTGAATAGGGAAATGGTAGAGAAATGATAGAAAAATAACAGGGAAATGATAACGATGAGATAGGGGCAAGGGCGATTGGGCGTCGCAGAGCGCGAGGTTGCGCTGTGAAAGTGGCTTTATGTATGCATTGAATAGGGAAAAAGCGTGACCGTCTAGTACTGGCCTGGGTCTTTCCACGCTTAATTTTCAGCAAATTAGACACCCGACGACCACGTTTGAACTCCATATGGAAAATAACATGGAAAATCAAAACTATGTGTTTTCTTCGCATTCAGTCGATTTTTGGGCAAAATTATGTTCACGACTGACTTTTAGGGGATCCGGCGTTTCGATTGATGTATTCAATTTTCTCAAAAAAAAAAAAAAAAAAAAAAAAAAAAAAAAAAAAAAAAAAACACCACTAAAGATCCTAATTTTTGAAATTTCAATTTTTTTTCTATTGAGTTAACGGGACAGCCGAAAACATCGATCCAAGAGGAAGATCCTTGAAATTTCAAAAATTAAGATCTTTGGTGTTTTTTGGAGGGAGTTGAATGTATTGTACATCGATCTCTGATCACCTTATAGATGGAAGTTATTTAAAACGTTGTATGTGAGGTGTAATCAGGCTACGGCCCACTCCACCAGGAAGCGATATTGCCATAGAAAGGAATTTTAGGACGTGATGACAAACAAAAAAAAGGGCTAAAAAAAGCGAGAAGATAAAATGTGGAAAACTAACCTACTTATCAGAGAAAGTATTAATCTTCGTTAGCTTATTTGTTTTTCCTTTTTTCACCGTTGCGTACATATTTTGATAACACATGTATGTTTCCGCGCGCTGTGACTTCGGAAAATCTTTATCGCCTACCACGTGATCTTTGCCAGGTTTTAACTACCAAGCTGTCAATTTTTGGTCGGATGACCAAATAAACGGATAATCCTCATAGGCGTAGGTAGGAGGGACGGGGGCAGGAGGGACACCCCCCTAATTGCAAACAGTATAATTTGGCAACCTCAACCCCCCAAAATTTCTTTCCGGTGGGAAATATCTTCGTCAACGATAACTTTCTGTTGCAAAGTACCTTTTTGTCACAATTCGAAAGTATTTTGAGCTGAAAATATTTCAAACATAGTAGTCTACGTGCAGAATTCTATTCACAAATTTTCGCCACGAAAGCCTTAAAATGCATAAATAAAGTGTAAAATTTCAAAAAATTTCTGGGAGGGACCCCCTTTTCAATGCGAGTTTTCCATACCCCTCCCCCTCCCCATCTACCCTGGTGATTGGAAGGCCTCCCCAGCAAAATAACCAAGCTACGCCTCGGATAGTGCTCGGTGTAAATGAATGATTGCGTATAACCAATTCATACATATAATTTCAATGGGGGGGGGGGAACATGTAATGGGGTAATCTAGACCGCAACATGGCCAATACCCTATTCTCATCTTACCCAGAGCGGTGTATTCTGCCAATCGTCTAACAAGCAGACTCCTACTTAAAAAAAAAAAAAAAAAAAAAAAAAAAAAAAAAAAAAAATTCCTGAATGCTTAAAGGGTGCCCCATTAATACGTGTCTCTTTCTAAAGTAACTCGATTGGTTTTCAGGTGAACTTCAGGCTGCTCCAAAAATGCGTCTACAACACGATCAACCCATTCAACGTGTTCCTGCGCTCGATCTCCATCACGTGGTACATCAACACCTCGCTTCTCATCCGCTGCCCCCTCTTCTTTCTCTCCCTCCTGCGCGACCTCAACGGGTACCTCCAACTCGGCGGTCTGGTTCTCCGCTCCCTCCGCGAGATGGCGCAGGTGCTCGGCGTCGTCTACAAGATCCCGCGGGTGCTCATGGACGAGATGATGTTCTCCATCCTCAACGAGCATCTGAACCAGTTGCAGACGGTCTCATTGTGCGGGCGGAAGGTGGTCAACTGGTCCGAACCGGTCAACGTGTCCGTCCTCAAACAGGTGCAGCATGACACCGGAGCTCTCCCCTGTGAGATCCTCGCCTACGCGCTTACGGCCTCCGTGCAGAGTTACTTCGAGAAGAACGGATATCCGCTCCCGAAGAAGGTTCACACTACCGTCAGGTTCATCTCGCAGGAGGATATTTTGAAAACTAACAAAAGGTAAGTAAACTCTAGAGACATGCGTAGACCCATCTGGGGTTGCAAAGGGCGTAAGGGGCGTGCGCGCCCCCCCCCCCTCCCCCGTTTCCTCGAAAAAAGAGTAATTAATAAGAAAGATAGAAGGAAAAAAGGAAGAAACGGAGGAGAGGATTAAGAAGGACGCTTTTATTTGGTGCTTATGCAGTTAAAAATTGATTCAAACTGCAGATTAGATGCTTCGGATGCCCCGGACCCCCTGCATCCCCCCTCCCCTCATTCTAGATGTCTAGGTCTGCCTATGCGACAAAGATATGCCGCAGGCAATTCGTCAAATCGGGTATTTTATAAAATGTCAAGGTAGGTAGTTAAATTTTGACATTTTACGGAATTTTGTCAAATTAAGACAAAATGCTGTCGAGTTTTCAATGTTTTGGGAAAAAATTACTCATCAAATCTATATACGAACTCTTATTGGTCTTTCATCTTCAAATCGATGACTAAAGTGAGACGCCACGTATATCCATTGCGGTGTTTCAAAGTATTCGCTCTTAGTTTATTTTTTCGAAAAGGAACTAGTCAACGTTATAGCTCGAAAATACAGAATATTCTACCGGCAGGGAAGAAGAATCAAGGAAATCTTCAAGAAATATGTTGACTAGTTTTCCGATGAAAAAATAAAGTATGACAAATAGTCTAAAACGTCGCAAACGAAGAAACGTGGTCTCCCACTTTAGCCATCGCAATGCTCCTCATTTATTTAAATGTTAAAATTTTAAAAATTCCATGTTTTATGACATGCTGCAAATTATAAAGTTAACGTTCATCCAGGAGCTAAAAACCGGTTAAAGTAACCAGCAGGCCGATTATTGAAATTAATAGACAAAGCTATAGACAAAGAAGACGAAAAGGATATGGTAGGATCCTATTGGTGGAAGCTGGTGGTTACCATGGAAAAAGGAGGTAAGTAATATAGACTTACTAACGGCAACTGACAAGAGACCCGACAGTTTGTCTATCAATTCCCCTCTTAGTCTGTAAGAACCACCGGTTGCAACCAATAAAATCGCTCCATACTCCCTATGTCTTCTTTGTCTATAGCTTTGTCTGTCAATGTCAATAATCGCTCCGCTGGCAAGGTAAAGTGCAGGTTGATTAGATCCGTTTGACTAATGGCCCATTAATGTTACAGATTATCGAATGGCATCCTGTGTTTTGACCTGCCCCTGCACATCCCGAAAGACGACCCACTGTACAGCCTGAACATAACGCAATACGCATTGCACAACACGCTGATCAAACAGTCTTCGATCTACCTGGCCTCATCCCTGAGATTAGACCTCAACCTCTTGACGTACGTTCTACCCTCTGTGGCCGTGCGGTTTTTGTTGTACCTTCTCACGAGGCACTACTCTGTCACAATCACTCAAGTTGAGGGGAATTTCAACGAAACCAAGAGGAAAAAACTGCTGTGGGGACAGGAAATTGAGAATATTATCTACTGGAGACCACCGCAAGCAAATATCAGTGAGTTTCTATAATACTTTTCCGTATGACTTTCTTCAGTTTCATACCAAAACGGTCTCATGGAATGGCAGGGAAGGGGGGTATCTTGCCACAAATTGTCCAATGAAGGAGTCTGAAAGTAAAAACCTCCCAAAAATCTTAACCCATGTAAAATAATACCACGTAGCCGTGTACCACGTGACTCTCCATGGGAGACACCTATATATTTATAATTACTTATTAAGAATAAAGATACTCAGAAATGGCTTAACTAGTCGTTCGCCTTACGGAGGAACGAAACTACATTTCAATTTCATCAAATTTTCCTTCCCAAATTTAATTTTTACCAAGAGAATCTTGGGCATGTCAAGTTGAAAATTTCACCGATTTTTTCCGATTCTTAGCAAAGTTCTGTTCACAAAAGTATTGAGCAAAAATAGCACAAGTACATTATTGTGAAACACTGAACTGTTTGATTAAATTTTGCAACTTTGGAATTAAGTTACGTTCCTATCTCGCGCGTCGCGCCGCTCGACGCGCCGGGTATTTCCACCATCAGTATACACGTGTGATGAAAGTTGCGTTCGTGTAAATTGAAGGAGCTTCAAACCAGTTGCTATAATATTTCATCGTTCGTTGTATCGAGTGCTGAAAACATTAATGCCAGTCATTGAACAAATATTGCAAAGCAAATAATGTAATTTTTGGCGAATCAAAAATGAAAAAAATAATATCGAGAAAAGCGAATGGGAACTCAGGATTACTTATGCGCTATTCCAGGTAATTTTATATTAACTGGTATTATCTCGTGGAAACATTAGATGAAAATAAGAGGAAGTGAGATGAAGAAGATAGATAAGGAAGAGCGCAGAGGAAGAAGAGGAGGAGGTATAGAGAAAAAAACAATATTAATATGGCGACTAACCACTCAGCCGCCTTGTGCATCTTCTGGCTATACTTTTAGGGGCAGTTAACATTCAATCTTCAGAATATAAATGACTAAAGTCGAACAATTCTTAATTCCGATTAAGACTAATTTCCTCCCATGTTTTATTCTCCGAAAACTAACCAAAAATTGTCCTTGAAATTTCTTGGAATTTTTTTCCTTATTAAAAATTTTCATAGTTTCAATATGATGTTTCTGTAACTTTTCCTTTAAAAAATAAAAGATAATTGGAGATTTTGTAATGATTCGATAGGGAAATCCTCTTTTCGATTTCGGCCAACGATAATTTTTTCCTTGCTTCTGACCCATCTCGACGAAATTTTATCAAGTTTACACCTCGATCCAAATCAGTTCATTTTTTCTTCTCGATTCAGGTTTATCACTGACACTGATGTGTTACGGAGAAGAGGTGCGGTTGGGCACCATGGCTGATGCCGAGCTGATGCCTCATCACTTAGTCATCCTCAAGGAATTCCCGCAGAAGATCAACCAACTGGCCTCAGCTGCTGCCCTCCTTCGACAACACTACTCATCTAGTCTATCCTCCCTCGATATGAGCACCGCCTCGGATTCATCCCTCCACCTTGATTTTTCTGAGTAGAGTTTCTACTAGTTTCTTGTGTTGTTCTACTCAAATGAGCATTGGTTTGAAATTTGAGCACGAATGCATGCTCGGGTTTTTGAGAAAACTCAGAGAGGGATTTTCTGCTGAAATTTGTGCAACTACTTCGTACTATAAAAGAACTTTTCGAAAATTGTTGTTGTCGAAAATGTTGTCAGGAAATATAATCTTGAGTCCGTTAAGTCTGCAATGAGGCAAATTTTTCAGTCATTGAATGGGACACTCGACAAAGTAACAGATGGGGCCCATGAAAATTTATTATTTTTTTAATACATCAGATCTAGGGAGAAAAGGCAAAAGTCTGCAAGGCTTAAGACTACCTTGCATCGAAAAAATTACAAATTGCGTCCTTTATACTATTCATCTTTCATTTTATCAGCGTTAAGTGCAAATAATAGTGTCTCAATCAGGAATTAATATTCGAAGTTTGCTGCAGTCTACTTGTTTTAAGGAGGTAATGTGTTACATGTCGCTTTACTTCGTCCTTTTTCTATATGTTGTTGTCCATTGTCGTACGTTTTTTATGCATTTTATAAAGCCGCAGAACAATTTATTATTTAAAAAAGAGTTTTTCTAAAATGCAAAGATATTTCTTTTAAATATAAAGAAGTTTTTCGTCTTTAAAAAAGGGTGTAAGACGTCAACAGCAGCACTGATAAACGTCGCTAACTAGTTAGATTACATGCATATAAGGCACTGATCTGAACTAACAGTACAAATGACGTCATCCGTCCTGTTTTCAAAAGATCAACTTTGAACGCAGAAACTTGGTGACGAGATGATTTCTCGCTTCTTTGCTGACATTTAAAATTCTACATCAAAACAAGAGTCTAGAACGCTTGTATCTGATCCGATAAAATTTATACTAATTGCGCTTTTTGAAATGAAGAGCAATTTGTGAGACTTCACTTATGCTTTTACGCCTCTTTCCCTATTTAGAGGGAATTTCAGCCAAGTTGGAATTTAGGAAAGTTTTTCTATTTCTTCCTAAAAGAAGGGTTGGCATCTTGTACTTCCAAACTTTTTTAGGTTTTAACTTTTAAAGCACACTGTTTTTAATGCTGAACTTTTTGTAAGAGAATTTTTCAAATCGTTGGGGACTGAGTAACTGAACTGGTCAATTTGGGAGAAAAGGGTTTTAGAAAAACTTGACTCAACAAAAATAAAAATTTTAAAGCGCAAAAATGTGTGGTACTAATCGTGTGTTGAGGGCATGAAGTAGCTCTTTTTTCGACTTTCTATTAGCCCAGTGAGGTTACACGTTCTCTCGATGTTGATAATTATTTTATGTACAAATTTGTTTGTATCTTTAAGTGCGTATGATTTGTCCTACATTTTAGTGTTTTTATGCCTGTTTATTTATTTTTAGTCGTTAAGCTCAATTAATCTGTACGTTCATTAATTTTACCGCTGAACTGGTCAACCCAAATATTGTTGGACACCTATATAATCTTTTATCAAATTCATCTACTATTGGTTGAGTTTAAATGCAATTCATCATATTCTGGTTAAATTGCTTCACTTTTCATGTAATTTAGCGTTTGTGATTTTAGAGTAAATTAAATTCCATAAATATACTCATTTTGTGCTTCAGGCTCACCCCTTTGTACGATGATATTCACTGCTTTACAAAATTGAAGTCAACAAATAATTTTTTTTCATTTTTATTTGTAACTCTCATTCCTGCCTGAACATTTACATCCAGTCGTAAACCTTTCGGATACAACATCATTAGAATGTTGCATTTAACCTATCAAAAATTTATATATTATTATTTCTTAATTATTAATTTTTGTTTAAAAAAGGAAAACTTACAGACAGTTACTTTATAATGTTCAGAAATGTTATCCAAAGCTTGAGAGAATTTTCATTATAGTTTCCAAAATATAATTTTTAATAGTTCCTTTTGTCTAGAAAATATCATAAGGGTGGGGGAGTATTGTATGAAGGTACACACTGAAAAAAAATCACGGTGTATTTACTAAAAAAAAGGTAAAATTACCAAGAATTCAGGGTTTCATTTGATCCCAGTTTTTTCTTGGTAATATTCCCCGGTAAAAATTGGCGATAGGAGCTGCGTTTCAAAATACCATAGGAATTCTTATAGCCGGCTAAAGAGGGCAATAGAAAATCATGTAGCTGGCTGTAGAAAGCGGAGCAAATCATTTAGCTGGGCTATACGAAGCGATAAAAAAGTATGCAGCTGGGCTAAAGTTCCTATGGCCGGGCTTTACACTTTATCGCCATCGGCTATAAAAGGCTATAAGAAATTGTGTAGAAATTCGTGTGCTTTGGAAATCATTAAGTTTGATACGGAGCCAACATAATATTCACAAAACACACATTATATTTTCCTTTAATACATATTTTTTTTCATCAATTAAAACGAGAATAATCCATACAGGATGTGCAAACATTTCAAAATCATGAGTTGAAAAACGCTGAGGCTGACTTCGCAAGATTATATTGGAGTATAACAGAGCGGAGCGGCGTGCTGTCAGCGATAAGCGCGCACCACCGCCTACAAACCTAACTGGGATACTTCATGCATGGCGCAATGCGTGAAGTATCCCTGTCAGGTTTGTAGGCGCTAAGGCGCTTTTCGCGCTGGCTGCCCGCCCGCCGCGCCGCAGCGTGCAACGGCGCTTGAAGCAACTATTTCACACCAGAGGTATTGCACAGTATCATACGAAATTGAAGGCGCTCCAACATATTAGGAATGGCAGGCATCCTTCAAAAGTACGGAGCTTTCCGCGCAAAACAAATCAAGATACTACGGCCCAAAAATAGAGCAGTATTCCAAAAACTCACTAAGTCCTAGCATCCGTAAAAAGTAACATGTAGCATACACTTTATCGCCTGGCTGTTGCTTACTTGCCATCGGCTATAAAAGGCTATATACGAAATTGTGCAGCCGGCTATAGAAGCTATTAAACATCTTACAGCCGGCTTTAGGTCTATGGTATTTTTGAACACAGATTCTACTGCCAATTTTTACCAGGGTTACCATTTATGGATTTGGTAATTTTACCGAGAAAGCTCGGTAAAATTATTGAACTTTCTCGGTAATTTTACTGGACCTTGGTAAAAACGCCAATATTTTTTATCGACTGTGGTAGAATTACCGAGATAAAATGGCAAAGTTCCCGGGAATTGATAACCAATAAAAGTGGTATTCTAACCTGAAAAAACAGTGAAAATACCGGGTTTTAGGTAAGCTTACCAATCTGCCTTGGTAAAATTACCAATAATTGGTATAAAAAAGTGAGATGGTGAGGGTACCAACGGACCGTGGTAAAAACGCTGAGAATTTTTTTTCAGTGAATGTATTCCAAAAATAATAAGGCCTTGACCCTTTGTGGCTAGACATTCTCTCTTGGGACGCAAACTTTTCCATAGAATTCTTAAGTATCGCTCGAATATCTTTCTTCTCCTAGTTTCGTTGATGAGCTGACCTGTGGATTGGCAAAAAAAAGAATAGAAATCACGAAAAAACTGCACTTGAGGAGTAACCGGAGCAACGGATGTGCCTAATGAGGAATACGCCAACGGACTATCGGCAGCCTCTCAACGGCATTGCCATTTTGAAGAGGCATTTGTCTCTAATGCCGTATGGACCACTAGACAAGGCACGAATTTCAGCATTCTGATACATGTGTCTTCACCAAAATTTTACGTAAAACACGATGCGCACAACGAAAATTACCGAAATCAACTCCTTCCGAAGATATTTAATGATTCTTGGTGCGAGAATTGAAACCACCCGCTCATGAAAACTCAATGCTCTACGTGATTCACATCGCGCGCTAAACATTATCATGAACGTCTCAACGATAAAAAAATCTGTCAACCTCAATCTTGACACTTTTCTTCAGCTATAGCAAATTACTTATAGTTTGAAAAACACATGGTGGGAAATGAACATTGCTCGATTGAGAAGCGCGCGGAAACCGTTGTTGTGCGCGATTTGACTCACGTAGAGCTTTGAGTTTCTTGTCAGCGGGCAGTTCAAATTCCTCGTAACCAATGTGAGATAAAAATGTTAATATCTCCGTTAAAAGTTGGTTTCAGTAATTTTCGTTGCGCGAATAGTGTTCTACGTGAAATTCTGGTTAAGAAACATGTATCAGAATGCTTAAATTCGTACCTCGTCTAGTGGCCCATTGGGGACTGTTGTCACAGGTTTAGCAATCCTGCGTACCCCAGCTGCACCCCTCACATATATTGAGAGGGGCCGAGTAGATTTTATAGATAGAGGGACACCCCCGTACGGCCCTATTTCCGCCCATGAATATATGCTACTTTGGCAGTTATTTCTAAATTAATAGAAATGTACGAGTTATACAGACATACCGTCCGTTCCGGGCTCTGAGGCCGGAAGTTCTGGGTGCCGGAGCCGTAACTTCGACTGCTCCGGGTGCTACGCCCGGAACTTTCGGCCTCTGAGCCCGGAACGCGGACGGTATGTCTATGTAACCCATGAGTACGGCACCGAAGTTTTTCTTTCAGTGTGCTTCGTTAGTTATTTCTACATATAATATGCGATCCTTGCACACACTACGATCTTCCTTAGGTGAGTCTCGAGAGGCAACGCTGTGAATTGAAAAACACCCGTGTGTGGGTAATGTGAAAATAATGTGGGAATGGTCAGGCTTGGGCGGCGACTAGAAAGGAGAGCGCGTAGTCAGTGGCATGTGCGATGCGCGGGGCGCCGCCGAACAGTGGATCGAGTCGATGGAGATGTTGTATGTGTGAGGAATTTGCGATTTGACTGTTGATTCTTATGTAAAAGTTCGCGAGAAACACGATGGTGCCACTGGTTTTTTCTGAAATCATCTCCCAAGCTCAAAAAAAGCTCTCAAATTGAGGCCAAAATGGAGGGGATATTCCACGCTATCCTGAGAGTCCATCTCTACACTAAGACAAACTCTCCATGCAAAGATAGGGAGCAAATACATTGACAGGGCTGCCACCTTATTAGGGGACGCTAAAACTGAAAACACGGCATCACTGCTAATATATTTGCTCCCTATCTTTGCATGGAGAGTTTGTTTTGATGTAGAGGTGGACTCTCAGGGTTGGGTGGGATATCCCCTTCCATTTTGGCCTCAACTTGAGAGCTTTTTTTGAGCTTGGGAGATGATTTCAGAGAAAACCAGTGGTACCATCGTGTTTCTCGCGAACTTTTACATATGAATCAACAGTCAAATTGCAAATTCCTCACACATGCAACATCTGCATTGGAGATGTCGGACATGAAATTTTTGACTAAAACTGCAAATTTTTATGTTCATTTCGTCTCATTTCAAATTTCAAGGAGTGCTTGTAAACGGAAATTTCACGAGGAAACCAAAGAAACCTCTTTTAGAGCCTCAAAGTTTCGCATGAGCGGAGTTGCAAGCGTTGAAAGTTTTCTAATTTTGTCCGACCTCTCCCGTTGACTCTAGCCACTGTGCGTTGGGGCTGCCACTCCGGAGTCCGAAGCTGTGCACTAGGCCAATGTCAAATGTCCGCTGACCCATATTTCTCGATCCATTAACGTTCCAGTATTAATTATGAATGGGAATGAAAGTGAAATGGGTCCCACGACACCGCCGCCGCCACTCATCCGAGAGCACTCCCCAACGGCGTTGCCTGATCCAGGTGTTCGTCGTCGTCCCTGGAACCTCCCCTATCCCAAGGGGGTGTAGGCGGTTCCAAAGGAGGGGGTGCGTTAGAGTCCCTTTATACTGAGAGTCAAGACAACACCCCCTCATGGAGTCACAAACGGGAATAAAGATTACAGAAATTGAACGTTTTTCATAATCTTTGATCGGCCCATTCTCAGATTCCTTTCTCCGTTCCTTCTCTCATTCCGGTTGTTCCTTGCCGAACCCGCGATTCCCTGGTCCATTCCAGATTATAATCTTTGCAATCGGTGAAAATGTAATCTTTATCCCCGTTTGTGACACTGTGTGGGCCTAAAACACGGGAATTAATCAGGAATGCATTCACGTTGTCTTGACTCTCCCTATCCCAAGGGAGTGTGGGCGGTTCCAAAGGAGGGGGCGCGTAAGGGATGAATGCCCCGAATAATGAAAAGGAAAGTGAAAGGAACAGAGGAAAGAGGATAGAATAATCACGATAAGTTGCGATTTGATCGGAATATGAATATGCGTGATTTTATCAACGTAGATTTATTGCAATGTCAACAAATAAAAAATTGCAATAGATTGTGATTTTGTCGCATAAATTGGCAATAAAATTGCGACTTCATTGTCGGCGATTTATCGCAATATTATCAAATAAAGAATCGTGGCGAATTGAGATAGGATTTCGAGTTTATCTAACGCAATTTAATAAAAATAAAATTGCGGCGAGATTGAGGATAATCACTCACAGAAAGCTGTCAAAGCAGGGTTTCTGTAACTAAACATTGGACTCACTTTTGAGTGGATTTCAGGGGTAGAATTTAAATCCATAAATCAGTGCCCTAAATTCATCTTCCTCTTTGGAATGGATTGAATCACTAGTCACTAATTGAATTATTTCTAAAAATGGCTGAAATGAATTTGGATCTCTCTTGCCTCAGGGCACTGATACATGGTGGCAAAATTTCA